CACTACACATTTCCTTTCGCCAATAATACCCCAGGCCTATGCTTTTAGTAGGAATCAGCATAGGTAAGCGCATGCTTCAATGAAAAATAGTCACAAGCAAAGAGAATAAAACCTTTTGTGACAATTTCTTGAAAGCTATGCTTATTAATACATATGCAGAATATTTATACAGCAAGAAAAAGTTTGTTGCATTTCAACTTTAAAAACAAGATCAGAAAGTATCACATTTTCTTATGGTAATATTAATTTACTAGGTGGGTGTTATTACAGCTAAAGCCAGGTTTGCATTAACATTTTTTAAAGCCATAGTCTCTCAACTCTAGTGATTAGAATTAGGAATCTCACAATATTGTCAGGGAGATCAAATTAACTGGGGACAATTTTAAAACCTAAACTTTCATCTCAATGCATTATGGGACTTTTAACACAGGAAATTTGAAAATTGTGGCAAAACATCAATCAATTGGGACTAGAAAATAGATTTCTTCCTTCTAAGCAGAGAGAATATGGATTTAATTGTTTACCATAAGAAAAGTGACAAATCCAACCAACCATCCATCCCCACCTGTGCCCTATTCTTTCCTTGTGTTTCTTTAGAGCCTTTTCAGCTATTTCCTGTGAAGCAAACTGCACGAAGGCCTCCCCCGTACTCCTCCCCTGGAAGTCCACCGGCAATGTTATCCCATTTGGCACGATTTCCAACCCTTCAACCCAAGGACAAATAACCCCAGTAGGGGGGCAATATTAACATCACAAGCCCAAAAATGATTCTTCTTATAGCTTTAAATAAACCAGAATTTTAACTTTAGGTGAACGGTATGCTTTCAACAAGTAACTCTTTACATATGCATTGTAATAATATGAAGTTCCATTATTACAAAGTATAACTCAATTCTTAACACACCCCATGGCATAGTATGTAAAAGAAAAAAAAAACAAAAAAAACAAAATAAAAACAAAAAAAAAAACAAAAAACAAAAAACACTTGAACACAGGATGCATTAAGAATTCAACAATTAACACTCTAATCTATGCAAATTAATGTTGAAAATTACAGAAGAATTTAATAAAGTTTCAAGCATTAAATACAACAGTTACTAAACTTAAAACACACCTTTTACCTTTTATATTTCAATGTTTTAAGTTAGTGGAACTTCAACTTTTTAAAAAAAATTACACATTTAAACATTTTATATACAAATTGAAACATTGCTTAAGTCATATAATTGACAAACATACAATCTAAACTTTTCAACAAACAACTGATCTACACAGCACAATCATGCACTCTTATGCTCTAACAGTAGTATGATTCACTTCTGGAAATTCCGTCTATGAAAAATCCTTTCCGTGGATACATTCCCAAGCTTACAAAAAGGGCTTAAAGCACTTTCCTAGAAGATATGAAATTATGTTCATATTTAACGTTGACAGATAGCATTCAATTCTCACCAATTTAGACAAAAACAATCAAAACAGACTTGATTTCAAAAATTCTGGCAAAATATTAGGACCTGATAACATATCTAAATCAAGATTTTAATACATACTACACTGAACCATGAAAGGATTTCTTGTTCTTAATTCCACTTTATTACATCATGAATATTAAAAGTTACTTAAAGTATGTTATCTAACATTCTGCTAAACATGCAATTTTATCAGCTCTTCAGCATAAAAACATTCAAATACTTTAGGCCCAGAACAATTTCAAAAACACTTTCTGTATTTGATACTGAGACTATATTCAAACTACTCCTACATTAGACCGACTTTTAGTAAGTTTATATAATTCCCTGGCTAAACGAACCATAAAAGTTGTGGGTTTTTTTCCCCCCATGAAGAGAATTAGACCATTAGAGACATTTCTGGGCCCATGACCCAACGTGTCTTAAGACATAGGCGCTTGCCACAAATTACAACAACCTAACTGATACTAATCTAACGTTAAGGAATCTTACCTTTACTTGGTACTTTGCTGAACAGCATTGTGAGGGAAGTAGTTAAGCTGTCGAGGACAATCCTCAAAGATCTACTCTGAACTACAACACTAAATATAGGCAAACTTAGCATTTTGGAAGTACTTAATTTCCACCTTTAAGATGGGCTTAAATTATTTGAAGGTCTCCAGGAAGAAGAAAACATTTAATTCATCTGCACATACTCACACCTGTTTAAGTATCTTAAGCTACTGGACTTTAAGGTCTATTAAATCACATGTTGCCAGAAGCTTGCCAGAACTCACTGCTCAGCATCAAACACAACTACATACCTGAGAAGAACTGAACAATTTCTTCCTTGCTACATCCAAAGGGGAGTCCTCTAAGCCGTACAAAGCCATCATTGGCCGTGTCAGGACTATTTGGACCAGTATGCTTCAACACCCAATCCATTTCAACGTTGTTTGACTTGAATACTGAAAGAGGTGCTTAGAATTAGTCAATTTTGGAAAGTTAGAGAACAAAGTTCAGACTTCCTAGGTCTTTAGATAATCTAGGAAGAGCTGCCATAAACTCCCTTAGATGACCATTTCCATGCGGTCAAATACCTAAAATTCAGAAGGGGTAAGATAGAGCTCTATGTGTTTAATATTTTATTTACTGTTACTAGGGCAACATAAATCAAACCTTCAACATATCTGTGTCCCATAGTTTCTCTGTCTTTTTTCAGGGCCAATTTGACTTCATCTTCTGATTCAAGTTCAACAAAAGCCTCGCCACTCGGTCTGCCTTCTCTGGTGTAGATGAAACGAATACCTTGAGCCCCATTTTGAATTTTGCAGTCTGGAAAGAAAACAACCGTTAATACAGAATTTAAAACTAAAAAACCACCTCTGGGTGATACAGATGAAATGCCTGTTTATTCCCCTGCTACAAAGCAGAGCTTCTTCTACAAAGCTTAGAATGACCCATAGTACCAATTCCCAGGGCCACTTTCCAATACTTAAGCACTTATCTTCCCCCAAACTTTCTTATTCTCTGGACACCTTCCCATTGCATCAAGAAAATCCAATAGTCAAAGCAATTTCTTAAAGTTATCTCCAAGTCCTCTCCATTGAACATCCTTTGTAACCTCTCATAAACTTAAGTCTGGACTCTGATTTTATGCCATTTTCTTAGTCTGGTTTCAAGTTTCAGTCTGGGGCACTTGATGGTTTTACCTTACTGGCAGCAACATACAATTTCTCCTGCGAATCCAAATTGCAGGGCCAATACTCACCTAAAAGGGGATCAATGTTAGCAAGCTAAAATGCTCCAAGTTGCACAGCTGAAGCCAAACCCAGTCTTGCTCACTGCAAGGTGGCTTCCAGTGTACTTGGTTCTCGTTTTACAGGTCGTTTTCCGTTACCAATGCTAAATTCAGATAGTAGGTCAATCCTACAAGTGTCCTTCCAAAACCTGCAAATTTCTCCCAAATATATCTGTATCAGTCTAAACTCACACTAACAATAAGAACAAGGACATTTTGGTAGAAATTACTCAGGAAACCTGCATACTGGAAAAAAGCTACATAGGCAAGTGAACTTCCCTGGGGTTCAGTGTCCTCAACTGTAAAGTGAGCCAGATCAAGAACTAGATGGGCAAAAACTCTTCACAATTACCAAATCTTGATTAGGAAAATTTTCTGAAATTAAGAAGTGACATTTTAACTTTCTGAAGTCGAAAGCCCCGCTTCAAGGACATACCGAAAGTGGAAGTAAATTGTAATACTTTAAGGATTTGCAAAATGTATTGTTTGCCCAGCTAACTGGACAATTTTCCCAAGATGGAGAGCGAAATCCCATTTATCCTTTCGAAAAGACAGCCGTAGAAACACTAGCGCTTAGACTAAGCGAAGACGACAAAAAAATCCTCCCGAGGCCGCACTCCCCCTCCCCCCGCCCCGAGGGCTCGGAGGGCGGGCGGGGCTTTCGCAATTTCCATTGCGTAACAGCGCCCGGCAAGGCGCGAGCAGCCCAGCGGGAACGGCTGCCGCCCGCGCCCCACCAGGGGGCGCCCCGGGCCCGGCCCGCCCCGCCCTGGCACGCCCGCCTCCCGGCTCGACCGACCGCCCGCCCGCTCGCCCGCCCGCCGGCCGGCCCCGGCGGCGAACTCCCGCCTCCGCTTCAAACTCACCAGAAAAAAAACGCTGCACCTCGTCTGCCGAGCAAGACCAGGGCAAGCCCCGGACCTTCACCACGAATCCCTCTCCGCCTTCGGTGCCCAACATCATCGTCTCCTCGTGGGTCCTGGCGTCGACACAGACTGCAGGCGGGGGACGAGCGTCAGACCGGGAAAATGATCACCTTAAACTGCCCTCCGGGCTCGAGGCGGCCGCCGGCCTGCGGGGCCCGAGGAAGAGCCGAGCCCGTGCAGACGCCCGAACCCCAGCGATTCCAACACTCGACACCCCTTCGGCCTGCGCCCAGGCCCCCGCAGCCGCTCTGGACACCAGGTGCCACTGCCCCAAGCCGAGGGGGCCCTGGCCTAGCGCCAGCGTGGAGGCAAGGAAATGGCGGCGGCCGCTTCCGCTCCGCCTCCTCCGACATCTCACACAATAGAGTCGGCGCGGCCTGCAGGCCTCGGCGGCCCCGCCGCCACTCGGCGAGCTCTTGCTGGCTCCACGCGGCAGCCCGCACCTTGCCAGGGCCCCCCAGGCTCTACAGAGGTCTCGGGGCAAGCAATCCTCCCAAAAATGGCATCCTCGGGGGCCGCTGGGCGCCAAACACAGAGCCACAAACACTCACCCGAACGCACGACTTCGGCGTGGCTGAGAAGAAATGGCCAGCAGGCGCCTGCGCAACCTAAATAAGGCCCTTTGAACAAGCTCTGCGCACGCGCAGCTAGGTGCCCGCACCGCCCCCTTGCGTCACACAGAGCTTAGACGCATGCGTAATTCCATGAGCCGGCCCCCACTCTAGCCAGCGCACTATTATGCGCATGCGTTTGGGGCTCATTCCCCCCCCTCCCACCTCTATAAACCCGCTGGGCTTTTTTGCGCCTGCGCCATCCCGCGATTATTGAACTTGGTTTACAATTTAGTTTCACGCGCATGCGTCTTCCTTCAAACCGTTCCGTCGCCTTACCCGCCAGAGTGGGGGAGGGGAATGGCGGCAATCAATTCCCCGTAGGGACCGTATGTAAGGCAGTCCCGCGCTCTGGGTTGTGAGGTGGGTGGTGAGGTGGCCGTGTTCCTACCCCTTCCCTAGCCTATTATCCGCGCCCCGGGCCGACCTGAAGGGACAGTCGCTCCCTGCCTTGGTGCCTCCTGTACCCCTTTTCTCCCTAGAGCCAGCCCGTGACCCCCTGGGCCTCTCCTGGGGGCTGCAACACCAGGAGCACGTCCGAGGCGTGTATGCCTCCGCTCCCCTTACCTGCCACCGTCGGACCTGGGGCCCGGAGCCGCGCGGGGTCCCCGTGCCCGTGCCTCAGTCCTGTACCCCGCTTTTGCCCTAACGAACTCGCACCCCGCGACCCCCGCTGCGGCGCCCCGGGGTAGGCGGGCCCTGAACGCCGCGGGGCGCTCGCACGAGAAGCGGTGGCCGGACGCCGCGTCCCGCTGCGCCTCGTGAGCGCCAGACTCCGCTCGTCTGAGCGGGTTCCCGCTCAATTCTTCCAAGGCCAAGTGGGTACCGTTAGATGCATTTCCCGGGTGGAGACACTGGGAAAATGACCCCGGGTCTCCCCGTGTGCGCCTATGGCACAAGATGAGTGAGGTTCGTGATTCCCACCAGCACTGCGGAAAACCGACGCGCCTGCCCTCTCCCGCTCGGGCCTGACGGACACAGGCCATAAACACGTTCACAAGGAGGTAGCGTGGGACGGTGAGTGAAGGCCTCTCCGAATGCCGCCACGGAAAGATGCGGGCGCAGCGTGTCCCCGCCGAGGTGCAGTGGTCTGGAGTCCGAAAACAGGGTTGAGAAAACTAGAGAAAGACACCGATGGAGTAAAGAGGAACGGTGATCCTAGGTAGGATCCCAGAGGTAGGGAAGGGCCCGATCTTGAAATGCTCTTGACCTGCCATTTAGGTCTTGGCAAGGAGCTTAATTCCAAGTGCAAGGCGGTCAACTCAAAGTGCAAGGGGAAGACAGTAGCAGGTCTTCAACAGGAGGCACTAGGAGCTGTTTTTGTAAAGGAAAATTCAGTGGCCGGAAGGGAGAAGGACACCGAAGGAACAGGCAGGATTAATAATGCTGCCTGCCCTCAGGTGAAAACAGAGCTAGAGAAAATGGCATTTTGGCTGGAGTCACCAAGATGTGGGACTCCCAAATCTTCCAGACAGTAGGTCTATCTCTGGGTGATTGAAAAGTAAGGAGAACACTTACTGCTCTTGGATGCTCTCTCCACCATATCACAAAGACACCTCCCAGAGGTTTTTTCTCCTAATTTTTTGTTTTAATTGAGGTACAATTAACATTCAGAGGTGTCTTCTTAATAGGTTACAGCACTTGAGAGTTCTGGTCTTATTAAATGACCAAGGAACACTGGTTTATGATCAGATGAGGAAAAAACCCTAATCTCCTTGATAGTGCATTAAAAAATCATGTTTTGACCTTTTAACAATATGGCCACACTCCTAAGATGTTTATTTTTCCTAATTTTTTTCTATATTTTCCTGGGATTTTCTTCCATAATGAGAATGGGGGCATCTGGTTGGCTCAGTTGGTGGAGCAAGAGTTGATCTTGTTGGGGTTGTTGGTTCTAGCCCCACATTGGGTGTAGAGATTACTCAAAAATAAAATCCTTGGGCGCCTGGGTGGCTCAGTTGGTTAAGCGACTGCCTTCGGCTCAGGTCATGATCCCGGAGTCCCAGGATCGAGTCCCACATCGGGCTCCCTGCTCGGCAGGGAGTCTGCTTCTCCCTCTAACCCTACCCCCTCTTGTGCTCTCTCTCTCTCTCTCAAATAAATAAATTAAAAAACTTAAAAAAAATAAAATCCCTTTTTTTTTAAAGATTTTATTTATTTGAGAGAGAGTCAGAGAGAGAGAGAGAGCACAAGAGGGAAGAGCGGGACTCCAGGATCATGACCTGAGCCGAAGGCAGTCGCTTAACCAACTGAGCCACCCAGGTGCCCATAAATAAAATCTTTAAAAAACTAAATGTAATTGTATGATCATCATAGAAAGACTAATCATCTTAGGATGAATTTCTAGAAGTAAAATTATTCAACAAAAGGATCTGAGTCTTTTGAGGGCCACTAATAAAGGTTATCGTGCTTCACACCCCTCTCTGTGGTGTGTGAGGGTTCCATATCCTTTGTTTTGCTGGCACTGAAAATTTCCTTTCCACTAATCTTTGCTAATGTCATGCCGAGAAAAACCATATCTCTAATTTGTGCATCTGTTTGATTACTAGCGAGGTAGAATAAATTTTATACATTTATAGCCAACTCCCTGTTTCAGTTTGACTTCTTTCTCTAATGATCTTTTGGACTTTATTAAGGCTGTTAAACCTTGGCCACAGCTGCCCCAAATATTTTTGTTTGCTTACCTTCTACTTGTTTTAATATTTATTTTTTTAAGACTTATTTATTCTAGAGCCAGGGCATGAGCAAGAGGGGCAGAGAGAGTGAGAGAGGAAATCTCAAGCCGACTCTGCTGAGCAGAGCCGATGCGGGGCTCAATCTCATGATCCTGAGATCACGACCTGAGCTGAAACCAAGAGTCGCTGGATTAACCAACTGTGCCACCCAGGCACCCCTGTTTTAATATTTAGAAACAAGGACGTTTTGGGGCGCCTGGGTGGCTCAGTTGGTTAAGCGACTGCCTTTGGCTCAGGTCATGATCCTGGAGTCCCAGGATTAAGTACGGCACCGAGCTCCCTGCTCAGCGGGGAGTCTGCTTCTCCCTCTGACCCTCCCCCCTCTCATGCTCTCTCTCTCTCTCTCAAATAAATAAATAAAATCTTAAAAAAAAAAAAAGAAACAAGGACGTTTTTAATTTTGATGAAGTCAAAGCCATGGATACTTTACCTTTTTTATTTTATCTTTTTTTTTAATATGACAGTTATGTAATCTTTTTAAAAAGATTTTATTCACTTTTGGGGGGAGGGGCACAGGAAGAGGGAGAGAGAGAATCCCAAGCAGACCCCACGATGAGCCAGGAGCCCAACATGGGGCTCAGTCCCACAATCTGAGATCATGACCTGAGCTGAAATCAAGAATTGGACGCTTAACCCACCGAGCCTCCCAGGCGCCCGACAATTATATAATCTTTATTGACCTTAACAAGGAACAAACACAAACTGTGTAAAAGTTCATAACGAAAGCACTGACTTACTCTCCATTTTCTCCCCCAAGTACTTTCTTTTCTCTTTAAGCTTAGAAAGCAGTTTCCCACGCAGAGATAATGTATTTATTCATCATCTATCTCTTTCATCAATTCTAAAATAACATTTCTTTGCAGTTTAACCTCTCTAAAATAGGGACGTGTCTTAAAAACCAGTGGCATGTTATAGTTTAAACGGCAGCATTTATTTTCTCAATGGTACCTAAATGTGTCTTAAAATTGATGACATCTTGGGATGCCTGGGTGGCTCTGTCGGTTGGGTGTCTGCCTTCAGCTCAAGTCATGATCCTGGGGTCCTGGGATCAAGTCCCACTTCGGGCTCCCTGCTCAGCGGGGAGTCTGCTTCTTGTTCTCCCCCCCTGCTCCTCCCCTGCTCATGCTCTCTTTCAAATAAATATTTTTTAAAAATTGATGACATCTTAGGTTTTGGTTTTAAAGCATTTTATTTATTTATTTGACCGAGAGAGAGCCCAAGCAGTGAGAGCTGCAGGCAGAGGGAGAAGCAGGCTCCCAGCTGAGCAGGGAGCCCAACTCCAGGCTCGATCCCAGGACCCAGGGATCATGACCTGAGCCCAAGGCAGACGCTCAACCATCTTAGCCACCCAGGCATTCCCATAGAGCTTGCCTTAAAAAAAAAAAATTACAAGAATGTTCATCGCAGCATGAAATGGCGCCCCGTCATCTTTAAAACTTCTTTTAAAATAATAAAAATGGTGATTTAGGGGTATAATTTTGAAAAGCTGTTTACAATATTCGTTGAGTGAAAACCAATTCATGAAACAGTAATAGTATGGCTCGGTTTTCTGAAATATGTATAATTACACACATGTGTAGAATGTGTGTGGGTGGGAGCGACCGGGTGGCTCAGTCGGTTAAGCGTCTGCCTTCGGCTCAGGTCATGGTCCCAGAGTCCTGGGATCGAGCCCCGCATCAGGCTCCCTGCTCCGCGGGAAGCCTGCTTCTCCCTCCCCCACTCCCCCTGCTTGTGTTCCCGCTCTCGCTGTCTCTCTCTGTCAAAGTCTTAAAAAAAAGAAAAAAAGAATGTGTGTGTAAGGTATAATCCAAAATGCTCACAGGGACTTTAGATGGTGCGAGCATATGGGTGAATTGTCTTGTTTTGTTTCTCGGTATTCTCTATCGTTTTAATGCTCAACACTTCTGTGTGGATGGAAAACTTCACAGTCCTCTGAGTGTAAGGCAGAATGTCAGGACAGGAGTTTCTCCCCATCCTCGGAGCACCGCAGCACCGGCAGCCTCCCGGACGCGCTCCGGGGCGGGGACCCCGTTCTGGAGCTGGAGACTGGACGCCCCGGCGGCCCAATGTTTAGAGCCCGGGCCTCGGCTCCCGAGCGCATCCCGGCCCCACGCCGCCGGGCGCTGCCCCGCAGCCGCGGGATCGGGTTGTGTTCAATGAGGTCGCCCCTCCACGCTCCGTGAAGGCTCCGGAACCTCTCCAGCTGCTCTGCATTCGGTATTTGGTGCCGCAGAAACAAAGGCGGAGGCGGAGCGTCCCGGGGGCGGGGCCTGGCCCTCCCGGAGGAGTCGGGGCGCCCCGCGGACGCTGACTGGGAAAGGGGATCCTAACACGCCCCCTTCGGCTCTCGGCGCATCTCCTTTAAGGCCGAATGCCACTCACTGTGGCTGAATCCTTAAGCCAGGTGTTCAAAATGCACTGATGGCTAATGTCCTTCCTTACATTTAAAAATGTTTTATTGTGAGGGCGCCAGGGTGGCTCAGTGGGTTGAGCTTCCAACTCTTGGTTCCGGCTCAGGGCATGATCTCAGGGTGTGAGATCCAGCCCTGCAAAGGCTCCGCAAGGAGCTGCTTGTCCCTCTCCGTCTGCTCCCGGACCCCCCTACTTCCTCTCTCAAAATGAATAAATAAAATCTTTTAAAAAAAAATCTTTAGTGGGGTAAAATATACATAACAAAAAAGTGGCCATGTTAACCACTTTGAAGTGGACAATTCGGTGGGATTAAACACATTCACAGTGTTGTGCAACTATCACCACCATCCATCTCCAGAACGCTTTCATCTTCTCAAGCTGAAAGGCCACCCTTTGAGCACTGACTCCCCATTCTCCCTCCTCCGTCCCTGGTGACCTCTATTCTACCTGGCTCTAGGAATTTGCCTATTCTAGGTACCTGATATAAGTGGAATGGTAGCATATTTGTCCTTTGTGAATGGTTCATTTCACCCAATGCAATGTTTTCAAGGTGGATCCACATAGTAGCGTATGTCAGAGTTTCCTTTCTTTTTCAAACTGAATAATATTGTTATATGCATATACCACGTTTGGTTTATTCATTCATCCATAAATGGACATTGGAGTTGGGTCCCAGCTTTTAGCTATTGTGAATAATGTTGCTTTGAACCTTGGGCTACAAGTATCTGTTAGATTCTCAGCTTTCCATTCTGTTAGGTATCTATCTAGGAGTGGAATTGCTGGATCATATGTAACTCTACGTTTACCTTTTCAAAGAACCACTGTTTTCCGTAGAGGCTGGGCCACTTCATGTTCCCACAAGCAACTCACAAGGCTCCCAGTTTCCCTATTACTTATTTTCTGGGTTTTGTGTTTGTTTTTGTGTTTTTACAGTGGCTGTCTCGAGTGTGAAGTGGTATCTCACGATGGTTTCCATTCACATTTCCCTAATATATAGTGGTGCTGAGCATCTTTCCATGTGCTTTTTGGCCATGTGTCTGTCTCCTTTGGAGAAATGTCTAAGTTCCTTGTGCATTTTTAATTTGGTTGTTTCGTTTTGGGGTTTTTTGGTCAATAAGTTTTGGGGTTCTTTATATATTTTGTGTATTAATCCCTTATCAAATATATGATTTGCAAATATTTTCTCTCATTCTGTGGATCATCTCTTACTTTTTTTTTAAAAGATTTTATTTATTTATTTGAGAGAGAGACTGAGAGACAGAGAGCATGAGAGGGGGGAGGGTCGGGAGGGTCACAAGGAGAAGCAGACTCCCTGCCTAGCAGGGAGCCCAACGTGGGACTCGATCCAGGGACTCCAGGATCATGACCTGAGCCGAAGGCAGTCGCTTAACCAACTGAGCCACCCAGGCGCCCTCTCTTACATTTTTTTAAAAGATTTTATTTATTTATTTGACAGAGACACAAGCGGGGGGGTGGGAGAGGGAGAAGCAGGCTTCCTGCGGAGCAAGGAGCCTGATGTGGGCCTTGATCCCAGGACCCTCGGATCACAACCTGAGCTGAAGGCAGACGCTTAACAACTGAGCCACCCAGGTGCCCCTCATCTCTTACATTTTTTTATTTATTTTTTTTGTTTTTAAAGATTTTATTTATTTGACAGAGAGAGAGATAGCGAGAGCAGGAACACAAGCAGAGAGAGAGGGAGAAGCAGGCTTCCTGCAGAGCAGGGAGCCTGATGCAGGTCTCAATCCCAGGACCCTCGGATCATGACCTGAGCTGAAGGCAGACGCTTAACAACTGAGCCACCCAGGCACCCATCATCTCTTACATTTATTTATTTATTTTTTTTGTTTTTAAAGATTTTATTTATTTATTTGACAGAGAGAGAGATAGCGAGAGCAGGAACACAAGCAAAGGGAGAGGGAGACGCAGGCTTCCTGCAGAGCAGGGAGCCCAATGCGGGGCTCGATCCCAGGAACCCGGGACCATGACCCGAGCCGAAGGCAGACGCTTAACAACTGAGGCACCCAGGCGCCGCTCTTACATTTTTTTAAAAAAGATTTTATTTATTTATTTATTTATTTATTTATTTGAGAGAGAGAGCACGAGGAGGGCAGAGGGGTTGAGGGAGAAGCAGACTCCCTGCTGAGCAGGGAGCCCGACATGGGACTCGATCACAGGATCCCGAGATCATGACCTGAACTGAAGGCAGACACTTAACCACTGGGCCACCTGGGCACCCCAGTCCCTTACATTTTTGAGTCTTTGTAAGTTCATTCTCTTTTCAGAAGTTTCTTTGACCCACTGCTCCTTGGCTTCTCACATATGCATTCATTTCATACATGCATTCGCCCAAAAAACGTTCCAGTGCACTCCATACACCATGCTCCGGGGTGAGCACTGGAGGCATAATCACAGGAGAAAAGATCCTTGCCCTGGACGAGCTTGCAGTTGAGTGGCAGAGGTGAACCAAAAAATAAGTCTACAAGTCAGTCCATGATGATAGATTCTGACACGTGCTATGCAGGACAGCAAGGGTCCCCAACGTAATTTGGGGTTAGAGAAAGTTGCTGAGAGAGTGGCACTTAAATTGGGATTTGACAGATGAGAGGGCCTGCTTAAGGGCAGAGTGATTTGGCAGAGACAACCCAGCTTTGAGGCTGGGAGGCCTGAGGCCAGACGTGGTTCAAGGCTCAGGCATGATGCAGTTTATGTCCTCAAAGATCTGTCTTGCTGCTGGGCTGCCAATGGTTTGATAAAGGAATCCTCCTTCCTCCCCCGCCCCACCGACATTCACCACCTCCTGCCTTGCACCCACAGGCAGGCACCCTCTGGCCCAGTCCCTGTCGTCCCTCTGTCATCTGATGAGGGCAGTTGATCTCCTGTGCTATCCTCTTGTCCTTTGCCTGATCACTCTCAACACAGAGTGATTTTTTTTTCCTGCTAACAGCTTTACTGAGATATAATTCACATACCATACAATTTTTTTAGGGTAGTCACAAAGTTCTGCCCCCATCACCACCTAAGTTTAGAACATTGTCCTCACCCACGAAAAGGAACCCCTTACCCATTTTCAGTCCAGAGTCATCTTTCAGAACTGCAAATCAGATCACATAACTTCCCCTGCTTTGAATCCTTCAGGGGTTGTCACGCATTTCAAGTTAAGTCATTTCTTTGATGGGACTCCTGCGTACCTCCCATCTTCACATGACCTCTTCACCCACTTCCCTACCCTCCAGCCACACCGACCTCCTTTCTGCTCTTTTCCATCGCAGGCCTTTGCAAATGGGGATTCCTCTGCCCAGAGCACTCTCCCCCAGATACCGTCATCACCAGCTCCCACACTAGAATGTTGGTTCCGTCGCTAGCACTGGGACAGAGTGCCTGGCACGTAATAGACATCAACAAGTAAGTGTTGGAGGAGAGACGGATTAAGGAGAAGAGGGAGAAGGTCATGTGAAGGTCAGTGCCCGGGAGTGGATGAAGGCGCCATTCGCTGAGATGAGGAGGGCTGGAGGCAGGCAGAAAGGAGGGGGCCTGTCAGGAGCTCCATTTTGAACACGTTCAATTCGAGATGCCTCCAAGGTATCCAAGGGGAGATATCATATGAACAGCCGGAGTTTTAGGAGCTTAAAGCCAACAAGAGTAGTCTAGGCTGGATATAAAAATCTGGATGTCACTGGATATAGATGATATTTAAAACCTTAGGCATGAATAAAGGGGCTTACCCTTGAGAATGGTATTGCATTCCAACACCCAGCATCGCACAAGCTAAAGATTGGGAGGTTGTGTCAATGAGAGGAAAAGAAAGAAAAAGGAGGGAAGGAAGGAGGAAGGAAAAGAAAGGAGGAAGGAAGACAGCAAAGGAGGCTGAAAATGAGTGGCCAGAGAGACGGGCAAAGCCTGGGAAGCACAGGGTTTCAGGTGGAAGAGTGTGGTCCACGGCATCAAATTCTAGTGAGAGGACTCGGAAGATAAGAGAAACAGAGACCCTGGAAATTGGCAACATGGAAGTCACTGGTGCCTTTAGCAAGAGCAGGTTAGGTGGAGCAGAAGGGGTGGAAAGCAGAGCGGGGTGCAGAGGAGAGTAAGGGAGGGCACACTCTTCTTCGAACACAAGATAATTGTGTGTTGGTTTGAGCCACTGTGTTTGTGGTAATTTTGCTGCTTTGGTTATAGCAGTAACAGGAAAACAATACAGGGTGGTATTCCAGGAAATAAAAAGGATAATGCATTTTCTTGCAAATCAAGGAGAAAAATCTTGTGATTATATCCATGGATACGCAGAAAGGCACTTGATGAAAGAAAGAAAGAAAGAAAAGCACTTCATAGAATCCTCTATCTCTTCTTAATAAAGTCCTAAGCTAAAAAGGAATAGAAGAATATACTTAAATATGATAAAGACTATTTACCAGAACCCAAAATTATAAAGCAAACTAAATGGATATATCCAAGCTGTTTCTACTGAAATCTAGATCAAGACAGGAGTTCCCACTCCTCTTTAAGATTGTGTTGGAAGGTGTAGCTAGACAATGGGATTAGAACTGGCTTAAGTGATTTTTTTTAAAGTCGTCTCTGCACCCAATGTGGGGCTCAAACTCACAACCCTGAGACCAAGAGTTGCGTGCTCTGCCGTCTGAGCCGGCCAGGCACCTCTAGAACTGGTTTAAATGATTTTAAAGTTCAACTGGAAGAACAAATGCCTAAGTACATCCCAGAATTTTCAGAATGGAAGAATTGTGGTAGAGTGGGACAGGCCACAAGATAGACAAGAAGAACTCAGAAATAGCTTGCAAATATATAAGGGAAATTAATATATGGCTAAGATGGCATATCTGTTGAGTGAAAAAAAGGTGATTAATTCTTTTTAAAGATTTATCTATTTTAGGGAGAGCACGAGTGGGAGGGGCAGAGGGAGAGGGAGAGAAAAACTCAAGCAGACTCCACACTAAGCTCGGAGCCGGACGCAGGACTTGACCTCACGACCCCAAGATCATGACCTGAGCCAAAACCAAGACTCAGGTGCTTAACCTACTGTGCTACCCAGGTGCCCCGATGATTAATTTGATGGGTGGTACTGACATTATTGGCCATGCTTATGGGGAAAAAAACCCAAAAGCTGGACTCCAGCCCAGTGGTTCTCAACTTGGGGGATTTTGCTCCCATTGGACATTTGGCAATATCTGGTGACATTTTGGTTGTCACAACTGCGGTTGGTACTATTGGCCTCTAGTGTGTAGAGGCAGAGATACCGCTCCTAAACATCCAACAGTGCACAAGACAGCCCCCACAGCAAAGAATTATCTGGCCCTCAATGTCGATAGGGCCGTGGTTGTTCTAAAATAACACGAAATACCTGGGGCACTTGGGTGGCTCAGTCAGTTAAGCGTCCAACTCTTGATTTCGGCTCATGTCATGATCTCAGGGTCGTGAGATCGAGCCCTGCATCGAGCCCAGCATTGAGCCCTGCTCAGCACAGAGTCTGCTTAAGATTCTCTCTCTCCCTCTGCTCCTCCCCCTGCTTGTGCTCTCTCTCTAAAATAAATACATAAATAAAAATTTTTTAAATAACACAAAATACCAAAATACTTTTCTGATGCATTAAATATTTCATTATACATATTTAAATAAAAAACAATATATTAGAAGAAAAAAAATATTTACCTTACTTCAGGATAGGAAAAAACCTGCTAAGTAAGCCTGGAAACCAGAAAGCCAAAAGGAAAAGATATATTTGCACACAAATTTTAAATTTTCCTAAAAAAAGATGTAAGAAAATATATAAAGCAAATGATAAGCTTAGAAAATATTTATAAAATATGTGAAAGACCAAGAGTCAATAGCCCTAATATGCAATTACGACCAGAAACCATAAAATTCTTACAAGAAAACATAGGCGATAATTTCTTTGACATGGGCCAGAGAAACATTTTTCTAGGTATGTCTCCTCAGGCAAGGGAAACAAAAGCAAAATTAAATTATTGGAACTACACCCAAATAAAAAGCTTTTGCAGGGGTGCCTGGGTGGCTCAGTTGGTGGTGCATGCAACTCTTCATCTCGGGGTTGTGAGATCAAGCCCCATGTTGGGTGTAGAGTCTTCTTTAAAAAAAAATAGGGGCGCGTGGGTGGCTCAGTCGTTGAGCGTCTGCCTTCGGCTCAGGTCATGATCTAAGGGTCCTGGGATGGAGCCCCATGTCGGGCTTCCTGCTCCGCGGGGAGTCTGCTTCTCCCTCTCCCTCTCCCACTCCCCCTGCTTGTGCTCTCTCTGTGTCTGTCTCTCTCTGTCAAATAAATAAATAAAATCTTTTAAAAAAATAAATAAAATCTTAAAATAAATAAATAAAGATCTTAAAAAAAAAAGCTTCTGCACAGTGAGAGAAACCATCAACAAATGATAAGGCAACCTACTGAATGGAAGAAGATATTTGCAAATGACATATCCAATAAAGGGTCCATATCCAAAATTTATAAAGAATTTATACAACCCAACACCAGTAATAATAATAATAATAATCCAATTAAAAAATGGGCAGAGGACCTGAATAGACATTTTTCCAAAGAGGACATATAAATGGCCAATACACACATGAACTCAATATCACTCATCATCAGGGAAATACAAATCAAAACCACAGTGAGCTATCACCTCGCACCCATCAGAATAAAAAGGACAAGAAATAAGTGTTGGTGAGGATGTGAAGACAAAGGAGCCCTCAATGCAAACTGGCGCAGTCACTCTGGAAGAGAGTATGGAGGTGCCTCAAAAAGTTAAAAATAGAACTGCCATATGACCCAGTAATTCTGCTACTTGGTATTATCCCAAAGAAAACAAAAACACTAGTTCAATAAGATATGTGCACCTCTATGTTTAGTGCAGCTTTATTTGCAATAGCCAAAATATGGAAGCAACCCAACCATCTCTCAATAGATAAATGGATAGAGAAGAGTGATATATATATAGATATACCGACCTACCTATCTATTTATCTATCTATATATATGATATATAGATATATATCTATATAATGGAATATTACTCAGCTATACGAAGTGATGAAATCTTGCCACTTGTGAACACATGGTTGGACCTAAAGGGCATAATGCCAAGTGAAATAAACCAGACAGAGGAAGACAAACACCATATGATTTCACTCATATGTGGAATTTAAGAAACAAATGAAGAAACAAAGAAAAAAAGAGACAAACAAAAAAGATTTTTTTTTAAAGCTTTTATTTATTTATCTGAGAGACAGCACACAAGCAGGAGGAGGGGCAGAGGGAGAGGGAGAAGCAGACTCCATGCTGAGCAGGGAGCCCAATGTGGGGTTGCATATGCGACTCCACGTGGGACTCAATCCCAGGACCCTGGGATCATGACCTGAGCCAAAAGAAGATGCTTAAATGACTGAGCCACCCAGGTGCCCCTTCAGCTCAGGTCTTGATCTCAGGGTCACAACTTCAAGCCCCATGTTGGGCTCCATGCTGGGTGTGGAGCCTACTTAAAAAAAAATGTGAAAGAAAAAGAGTCAAAAACCCTAACATGTAAGTTTTAACAGACCAGGAAGAAAACAAGACACATAAATGGCCCAAAGCTCTCACAAGTAGTCAGAGAAATGCAAATTAAAGTAGTAGAAGGGTTGGCTAAAATTAAAGAGCAGTTCATATCCAAAATCCCTGATCTTCAACCCCAACTTCACGAAGTCTTGAAAACCAGAAAGATGTTTTGGCTTTGTTAAGTCTGAGGCCAATTCATTCAGCAGCAGGACTTTAACCTGAGCTAATATGAGGCTATTTACAGTCTTTTTTTTTTTTAAGATTTTATTTATTTATTTGACAGAGAAAGCGAGAGAGCACAAGCAGGCGGAACAGTAGAGGGAGAGGGAGCCCGAAGCAGGGCTCGATCCCAGGAACCCCGGGGTCATGACCTGAGCCGGAGGCAGATGCTCAACCATCTGAGCTACCCAGGTGCCCTGAGGCTATTTGCAGTCTTGGCTCATCTTGCTTGGTGAGAATTTTTTTTTTCAAAAATTTTTTTATTATTATCTTATGTTAATCACCATACATTACATCATTAGTTGTTGTTTATTTAATTTTATTATGTTATGTTAGTCACCATACAATACATCATTGGTTTTTGATGCGATCCATGATCCATTGTTTTCGTGTAACACCCAGTGCTCCATGCAGTATGTGCCCTCCTTAATACCCATCACCAGGCTAACCAATCCTCCCTCCCACCTCCCCTCTAAAACCCTGTTTGTTTCTCAGAGTCCATAGTCTCTCATGGTTCATCTCTCCCTCCAATTCCACCCCCCATTTTCCCTTCCTTCTCCTAGTATCCTCCATGCTATTCCTTATGTTCCACAAATAAGTGAAACCATATGATAATTGACTTTCTCTGTTTGACTTATTTCACTTAGCATAATCTCCTCCAGTCCCATCCATGTTGATGTAAAAGTTGGGTATTCATCCTTTCTGATGGATGAGGAATATTCCATTGTATATATGGACCGCATCTTCTTTATCCATTCATCTGTTGAAGGGCATCTCAGCTCTTTCCGCAGTTTGGCTATTGTGGACATTGCTGCTATGAACATTGGGGTGCATATGGCCCTTCTTTTCACTACATCTGGGTCTTTGGGGTAAATACCCAGGAGTGCAATTGCCGGTTAATAGGGTAGCTCTATTTTTAATTTTTTGAGGCCTCCACACTGTTTTCCAAAGTGGCTGTACCAACTTGCATTCCCACCAACAGTGTAAGAGGGTTCCCCTTTCTCCACAACCTCTCCAACATTCGTGCCTTGTCAATTTTTGCCATTCTGACTGGTGTAAGGTGGTATCTCAATGTGCTTTTGATTTGAATTTCCCTGATGGCTAATGATGAGCATTTTTTCATGTGTCTGTTAGCCATTTGTATGTCTTCTTCAGGGAAGTGTCTTTTCATATCTTCTGCCCATTTTCTGACTTGATTATTTGTTTTTTGGGTGTTGAGTTTGAGAAGTTCTGTATAGATCTTGGATACCAGCCCTTTATCTGTAGTGTCATTTGCAAATATCTTCTCCCATTCTGTGGGTTGCCTCTTTGTTTTGTTGACTGTTTCCTTTGCTGTGCAGAAGCTTTTTATCTTGAGGAAGTCCCAAAAGTTCATTTTCGCTTTTGTTTCACTAGCCTTTGGAGATGTATCTTGAAAGAAGTTGCTGTGACTGATGTCAAAGAGGTTACTGCCTATGTTCTCCTCTAGGATCTTGATGGATTCCTCTCTCACACTGAGGTCTTTCATCCACTTTGAGTTTATCTTTGTGAATGGTGTTAGAGAATGGTCGAGTTTCATTCTTCTGCATGTGGCTGTCCAATTTTCCCAGCAACATTTATTGAAGAGACTGTCTTTTTTCCACTGCATTTTTTTTCTTTCTTTGTCAAAGATTATTTGACCATAGAGTTGAGGGTCCCTATCTGGGCTCTCTATTCTATTCCATTGGTCTATATGTCTGTTTTTGTGCCAGTACCATGCTGTCTTGATGATGACAGCTTTGTAATATAGCTTGAAATCGGGCAACGTGATGCCCCCAGCTTTGTTTTTCTTTTTCAACATCTCCTTGGTGATTCGGGGTCTTTTCTGATTCCATACAAATTTTAGGATTGTTTGTTCCAGCACTTCGAAAAATGTCATTGGAATTTTGATCAGGATGGTATTGAAGGTATAGTTTGCTCTGGGTAGCAACATCATTAGTTTTTGAGACAATATTTTTATTATTCTGCTGCAAAGCATTAACTAATGCATTTGATTAGGAGGGGCTGCCTCAGAGCCTGCTGGGGTTGTCATATAATTTCCTAATATCCAAAAAGTACTGCATTGTGAAATACATGTAAGGATTTTGAATAAGTGCTTACAGCTCTGTAATCTGCAGAGATGCGGAGTGAGAGAAGCATGCATTGGCCAATTTTCAAATATTAAAACAACCTTGCATTCCTGGAATAAATCCTGCTTTGTCACGATGTGTTATCTTTTCATATAACATTGGGTTCGATTTGCTAATAATACTTGACAAGGATGTTTAAGTCCATATTCACCTGGCCTAGTGGTCTCTGACTTTCTTTTGTAATCTCTTTGCCAGCTTTCTGTCCTGGGTTATGCTGGCCTCAGAAAAGGAATTGAATGGGCAGTGTTCCTCCCTCTCCTCTATTCTCTGTGTTTGTATGAGACATTGTCTGGGCCTGGATTTTTCTTTCAGGGAAGGTTTGGATAACAAATTCCGTTTCTTTGCCTGTGCTTCTTTTTTCCAGCATGCTACAATGCTAGGTAGATATCCGCCCCTCTGACTGGAGGTCAGAATGTGTGTCCCGGGCTCCGTCCCAGCCAACCAAAGGCAGGGAGATGGCTCTGCTGGGATTGGCTTAAACAAGTTGGGATTGATCCCTGAACCTGGGCAAGGGGCTCCCTCTGCAAGGGTGGGACCCAAACACTCAGGGTTCTTGTGGCAGAGAAGCCGGGAACAGGGATGATGCAGGATGAGGCAGGGGGAAAGGAAGGACATTTGAAAGATGGAAGACCTAGAAGAGACTAAAATAAATCCAGAGATCATCACTATTACAGAGCAAGTTTGCTATTTGCGATTAGTAGAAATAGGGCTCAGGAGCGCCTGGGTGGCTCAGTCAATTAAGCATCTGCTTTCATCAGCTCAGGTCATGATCCAGGGTCCTGGGATCGAGCCCCCCGTGTCGGGCTCCCTGCTCAGTGGGGAGTCTGCTTCTCCCTCTGCCTCTGCTGCTCTCTCTCTCCTGTCAAATAAATAAAATCTTTAAAAAAAAAATAGAAATAGGGTTCAGAGCAGGGGGTTGAAAACACAAGTTACTTTCTTCCCTTTCGAGCCCTATGAAGTGTGTGCATATTACCCCACATCCCATCACCCCTCTCCCCTTACACACATGTTGGTGCAGATGGTGCTGTGGTCGTGAAGGCCGCAACCACCCTTGACCATCCACTTGGGAATAGGAGACAAGACCATACAGGATAGGGAAGAGGCTTGACTAACGGGGCTGGAGGCAGGGAGGGCTCCATCAGGGAGGAGCAGGCTCTCCTCGGAGTGGTGTGGGATGGCCTGAAGGCTCAGAGTCCATTTCCAGCTGACCACTCCCAGGGCTGCCGAGCAGATGTGCACAATGAACAGCCCAGTCCTAACTGCAGGCCTGTGACCTCGGCCTCCAGGTCAGAGCAGACAAGCTCACACCATGGTCAGCTCCGTCTGAATGTATGGAGGGCCAGCCTCGGTTTGAGGACACCTTGCCCTGCCATTCGTTGTTCAAGACTCAATTCTAGATTCTCAGGGCTCATGGTCTCAAAGGAAATAACCTGTCCACCTGTTTGCTAGTTTGCTGGTATTCTGTTTTGTTCCAGAAAGGAGTTAGGATGCCATTAGTGAGGATGGGCTAGGTGATGCTACAGTAACAACCCCACATCTCAGGGGTTTAACAAAGTTGATTTCTCACTGCTCAGACCACATAGCTCATCCACCAAGTTAAGTCAAGAGGCCAGGAAATGAAACCTTTCTTCAAGAGGCCAGGAAATGAAACCTTTCTTCAAGAGGCCAGGAAATGAAACTTTCCCAACGTCCTGGAAAAAGAACTGGAAATTTCCATGAACGATAGGAATGACCACCCTAGATTGGGGGGGGGGGGGTCTTGTGTTTATATACACACATCGGAGAGGAAATGCCTCTCCAATGCATCGCTACCTTCCACTTAGCCTTTGAAGGCTTCACCTCTGTCAGGACCTGCCCAATCAATCAATCAATCAATCAGCCAGGGGACTGGCAGCAGCAGCCCCAGAAAGACTGGCCCCATTGGCAATGTCTACTCTGCACCAAAGCCCTTTCCTTCTCGCCTTCCACACCCTTCCTCTGGGTTTTCCCCAGTCAGGGCTGACTCTGCCAACTGATAAGACATCCTTGTTGGTGGGGCGCCTGGGTGGCTCAGTCTGTTAAGCACCTGATTTCAGCTCAGGTCATGATCTCAGGGTCCCGGGTTGGAGCCCCGTGCTCCACGCTCAGTGGGGAGTCTGCTTCTCCCTCTCCCTCTGCCCCTCCTCCCCTCAACTGCTCTCAAAAAAAAAAAAAAAAAAAAAAGACGTAGTTGTTGGGTCCCAGCATTTGACAGATAATTACTGTAGAGTTGCGTGATTACTGAGCAAATGAGTCTGAGTAACGTAAGACATCGCTGTGGCCCTGGGTTAGTAGGGAAGATAAAGCGCGGGCCATGGTCAAGGCCAAGGGCAGGACAGTCTCTGTGGGAGGGAGGGCGCCGGGGGAACTTTCCAGCTGATTAGAAAGAACCACAGTGGGGAGGACGGTCAGGAGCTGGGGGCCTGGGTTCCGGGAGGAGAATGGGGAGCGCACACAAGTTCAGGCAGTTCTGGATCAAGGACGGTTTCCGAGTCAGCCCCCCTTCCTCCCCTTGCTGGGTGCTTCACCATCTCTGCCCGCTGGGTCCCAAATCTCCAAGGAACAGGCGCAGAGAGATGCACAGAGATCCAGCAAGTGCGCAGAGCGGAACTGGACTCTGGGCCACGTCCAGATCCAGCGCCAAGTGCTTCCAGCGCTCCAGCGGGTCGGGGAGCCAAGGGCACCTGGCCAAACGGAACGCTAACGTTGCAAGCTGCTGGGACGGCGGTGGAAGGCGTACTTCAGGGCCGGGCGCCCCTGGGGGAGAGGGCTTGGGCTCCTGGCTGGTGAGCCACTCCAGGGAGCGGGCTGCCGAGAACCTCAAGGCAGCCTCGCGAGCGGGAAACGTGCGAAGCACGCCCGCGCCCCGGCCTCGCCAAGGAAGGTGTCGGCCTTTCTGGGAGGCACCACCGGCTCCGGCTTCGCGTGACCAGCAGGGGGCGCCCGATCCCCCCCGAAACCCGGGGAACGCGGGCTGGCGGGCCGCGCCTGAGGAGGTGATTCCGTCTGGGGAGGTGATTCAGCCCGAGGTCCTCTGCTGGCTTGTGCGTTGAAAAAGTGCTTGGAAACTATTTTCACCGGTTCCCTCTGCGGAATTGCACTGGGGCGGGGTAAGGACTTTTGTTTTTCGTTTTAAACCCAGCTCTGTAAACACTAAACATACTGCTGGACGCATTTGCAAGCTTGTATTAATTTGATGGAGAGTGCATGTTCTACAGCTGATTTGGCCTGGGTTCCCCAGAAGGCAGAGCCTGTGGGGGAGTGGCTTTAGGAGATGACAGGGTAAGGAGTGTGGCCAGGAGAGGAGAGAGAGGCTAACACCACTCCGCATTACCAAGGTGGTCCTTCCCCGCTCTGTCTCCCAGGACATTGCGGGCCACTTTACGGACTGTGTCTCAGAACCATCCTCCCGAGGAGGAGAGAAGGATTTATCCATTGCCTCCCGAGACCCCCTCCTCCGGCACAGGCTTGCAGGAGATTCTGTCCAGTTGCGCGGGTGCAAAGCCTCCTCAGGATGCTCTCCCTGCAGGCGCTCGACTCAGGATGAGAAGGCTGAAGAGGTGCACGTGATCTCAGAACCCCACCCGAGAAAGGGACCCAGAGGGGACAAGGGGACCCTAAGGAAGTCAGTCATCCACAGTAACTACCCAAACTCTTCATCTCAGGGACGTTTACACCAGGGTGTGTGTCTGAGATAGATTCTGGGAAGTGGGATTGCTTGGCTCAAGGGTCAAGGCACCTGCAATTTTGCTACATGTTGTAAGATCCTGGTATGAAGCAGTTGTACCATTTTGCATTTCCCAACAACTTAGTGAGCGCCTGCTTCCCCACAGCCTTGCCAGCAGAGAAGTTGCAAACTTTGGGGTTTTGCTGATCTGACAGGTGAGACATGACATCTTAGTGCGTTTTTATTTTGTATTTCTATTTATCATGAGCAAGATTGAGCATCCCACCTTATACACAAGGCTTTTTATTGCAGTATTAATTATATGAGCAGAAGACAGGAAACACAAAAGCACAATGAGATATCACCACCTCACGCCCATCAGAATGGCTGTTAAAAAACAACAAAACAGGGCACCTGGGTGGCACAGTCGGTTAACCGTCTGCCTTCAGCTCAGGTCGTGATCCCGGGGTCCTGGGATCGAGTCCTGCATCAGGCTCCCTGCTCAGTGGGGAGTCTGCTTCTCTCTCTACCCCCTGCTCATGCTCTCTCTCGAATTCTCTCAAATAAATAAATAAAATCTTAAAAGAAAAAACAAACAGAAAATAACAAGTGTTGGCAAGTATGCAGAGAAACTGGGACCCTTGTGCACTGTCGATGAGAATGTAAAATGATGCCGCCACTATGGAAAAGTTTGGTTTGGATTCCTAAAATAGTGTGACATGGAAGTACCATTTGATCCAGCAACTCCATTGGGTATATACCCTAAAGAATTGGAAGCAGGGTCTCAAAGAGATCATTGTACACCCATGTTCCTATCAACACCATTCACAACAGCCAAAAGGTGGAAGCAACTCACATGTCCATTGACAGATAAGTGGATAAACAAAATGTGGTGTAGGGGCACCTGGGTGGCTCAGTCGGTGAAGCGTCTGCCTTCGGCCCAGGTCATGATCCTGGGGTCCTGGGATTAAGTCCCGCATAGGGCTCCCTACTCAGTGGGGAGTCTGCTTCTCCCTCTGTCCCTCCCTGCCCCCCCACCCCCGCTTGTTCACAAGCTCTTTCTCTTGCAAAAATGAATAAAATCTGTAAAAAAAAAAAAAAAAAAAGAACGAGGGGCATCTCTAGGTCCTGCTGAGGTGTGACCTCCAGAATATGTCACTAAGTGAAGACAGCAAGAGGTTTTACAGATTTCACAATATGCTACAGCAACCAAGAAAAGGAGGAAATACAGATATAGATGCTTATATTTTCAAATAGAAACAATGGAAGGATAAATAAATCAATACAAACATTTACCTAGCGGGGAGGAAGGATCAGGCTAGAAGGGACAAGGGTGCAGCTGGACCTCTCCATACTTACCTTCTTTTTTTTTTTTTTTTAAGATTTTATTTATTCATTTGAGAGAGAGAGAGAGAGAGAGAGCACAAGCAGGGGGGAGGGGCAGAGGGAGAGGGAGAAGCAGACTCCCCGCTGAGCAGGGAGCCCGACGCGGGGCTCGATCCCGGGACCCTGAGATCATGACCTGAGCCGAAAGCAGACGCTTAACCAACTGAGCCCCATCTCCATACCTATCTTGTTTCATACTTCTGCATTCAGAAATGTGTAAATGTGTATACAATTTTTTGAAAACTTTAATTAGTATAGAGTTTGTTGGATTAATTTCTCTGCAATCTCCATAAGCATAGCCTTGGAAGGGCTAGTGATTTTTTTTTAAAGATTTATTTATTTATTTGAGAGAGAGAGGGTGCAGGGGGGGAGGGGCAGAGGGAGCAAGAATCTCAAGCAGACTCCACGCTGATTGCAGAGCCTGATGCAGGGCTTGATCTCGTGAGATCATGACCTGAGCCGAAACCAAGAGTCAGACGGTTAACCAACTGTGCCACCCAGGCGCCCCATTAAGATTTTATTTTTAAGTAATCTCTACACCCAACGTGGGGCTCAAACTCACAACCCCTGAGATCAGGAGTTGCATGTCTACTGAGCCAGCCAGGAGCCCCTAAGAGGGTTGGTGATTTTTGAGATTTCTTCCACAGGATGGGTATATTAAAAAAAACAAAATGAACAAAAACCCCCCAGAACGTAACAAATATTGGTGAGGCTATGAAAAAGATGGAACCCTCACACATTGCTAGTGGTAATGTAAATGGTGTGGCTGCCTCGGAAAATAGTCTGGCTTCCTCAGAAATTGAAACAGGGTTAGCATACCCAAGAGAAATGAAAACACATGTCCACACAAAGGCTCTTACACAAATGTTCATAGCAGCTTTATTTATAACAAATAATACAATAATAAAATAAATGATAACCCCAAACTGAGGACAACCCAGATTTCCACCAGCAGAGGAATGGATACACTGCGGTATTTCCACACGATGGACTACTACTCACCAGTAGAAAGGCATGCTGATGTGCCAAATAACATAAATGAATCCTAAAGTACTTTTGCAGAGTGAAAGAAATTAGGCTTTCAAAAGTACATACTGTATGATTCCATTTGCAGAAAATTCTGGAAAATGAAACTTAATCTATAATAATAAAAAGCAGATCAGTGGTGCCCTGGGGCAGGGGGAGGAGGGCAGGGGTGCCCCTTACGGCACGAGGAAACTCTGGGGTGTGATGAATATGTTCATTGTCTTGATCGTGGTGATGGTCTCATGGGTATGTAGATACACATAGGAACTCATCACATTATACACTTTGGTTTTTTGTTTTGTTTAAGATTTATTTATTTTTAGAGAGAGCACAGGTGCAGGAGGAAGGGCAGAGGGAGAGAGAGAGAGAGGGAGATTCTCAGGCAGACTTCCTGCTGAGTGTGGAGCCCGACGCCGGGCTCGATTGCACGACCCTGAGATCATGACCTGAGCCGAAATCAAGAGTCAGGCATTCAACCAACTGAGCCACCCAGGCGCCCGTAAATTATACACTTTGCATATCGGCAGTTAGTTGTTCACAAAATAGGATAATAAACGATGCTTAACATTTTTAAAACATGAATGTAAGTTTTTGGACGATATCTTTTTTTTAAGATTTATTTTTAAGTAATCTCTACACCCAACGTGACCTCAAACTCACAACCCTAAGATGGACAGTCACATGCTCCAATGGCTGAGCCAGCCGGGCGTCCCGATATCTTCTATTTAGTTGGAAAATCCTTTCTATTTCTAGGTTTTAGGAAGAATTTTTTTTCAGGTGGACTATCTATCAAATACTTTTTTGGCATTTATTATATGGTTTTTCCTTCTTTAATCTGTTTGTATGGTACGTTTATAGATTCTCCAGCATTAATTCATCTCCGTATCCCTGGAATAAACACAACTTGATCATGACACATTGCCATTTTAATACACTGCTGAAATTGATTTGCTAATATTTTGCAAGGATTTTTGCAGTTATCTTTTTATTACTAGCTAATTTAATTGCTTCCATCGTCCTGGTGAGAATGGCCCGTGGCTTTCTTTGGCACACGGTTTGCTCTCGGCTATGCTGGTCATGCGCTGAGGAACGAACGTTCTCTCTTTCCGTTCTCTGGAAGAGTTTGTTCTTTTCCGGTTGAGATGATCCGTTCCTTGCCAGTATGGTGGAGCCTGCCTTATGAAGCCAGCTGGGCTCGGTATTTTCTTTGCGGGGAGATTTGTAATGACTAATTAAATCTCTTTAATGGTTCCAGGGAAAATTCAGGCTTCTCTTTTTTCCTTTTTTTTTTTTTTAAAGTGTCAGCATTTGTTTGTTTGTTTGTTTTTTAAAAGATTTTATTTATTCGACAGACAGAGACACAGCGAGAAAGGGACACATGCAGGGGGAGGGTCAGAGGGAGAAGCAGGCTTCCTGCGAGTAGGGAGCCTGATGCGGGCTCGATCCCAGGACCCTGGGACCATGACCTGAGCCGAAGGCACACGCTTAATGACTGAGCCACCCAGGCGCCCCCTCTTTTTTCCTTTTGAAAAAAATTTTATTATGGAAAATATCCACCACACAAAAGTAGAGAGGATGGTATGGTGAGCCCTCATGTACCAGCTTATAACCGCATCTTTTCATCTGTACCCCCACCCACTTCCCCTGCCCACATCCTAGACCACCTGGAAACAAATTCCAGACACCTTATCATTTCATCTGTAAGGATTCTACTAATTCTCTCCAAAAGAGAATGATTTTATTATTATTATTTTTTTTTTTTAAAGATTTTATTCATTTGAGAGAGCGCACAAGCAAGGGGGAGTGGGAGAGGGAGAAGCAGACTCCCCACTGAGCAGGGAGCCCAATGCGGGGCTTGATCCCAGGACCCTGGGATCATGACCTGAGCCGAAGGCAGACACTTAACCGACTGAGCCACCCAGGCGCCCCAAAAGATAAGGATTTTAAAAACGCAAAATGTAACCCTTCTATATCATGCCTACAAAATTTAATAATTCTGTAATATTAAATAGTCTGTTTCCATCTTTCCCCAGTTGTCTTATATGTTGGGGGGTGGGATTGGTGGTTTTGTTTGTTTCAGTTAGTTTGTTTGAAAATCAGGAGCCAATTAAGGCCCATACATTGTGACCGGTTGATGTGTGTCTTCAGAGGCCTGCCCAGCATGAGGGTTCATGCCCCCTAGTCCCATTTGTTTTCACTTCTGCGGCCATGCACAGGCCCCCCTCCACGGTCATCCACACCCCCAAGCCACTGAGCGGCCTTGCACTTTCCCCAGGAGAGCTGTGCACCTGCTGGCATAACCCCAGGACATGGGTCTCAAGGGTCCACACCCAGCCCACCCCCGGTGAGCCCGCGGAGTCCCCGAGACGTTGCTTCGTCCCCTGACTTCAATTCAGCCCTGGCTGATCAGAACTGGGACACCGACCAGTTGAAAACGGACTGAGTAGGTGGTATCACAGTATTGCTAAATATATTAGGAGGGGACAAAAGCAACAGACAGGCCACTGGTGGTGGCTCCCAAGGGGGCAGGGGCCAAGGCTCCTGCTCTGTGGCTCCAGGGACAGCGGTGCCTGCGGAAGCCCTAGGCCACCGTGCTCCCCAGGGTCCCCCGCGAGGCCTCCTCTCTCCCCGCGGTGCTGTTCCTGCCCACGGCGCGAGTCCCGTGGGCCTTTGCTCCCTCGCAGTCCCCTGCGGCTGCACAGGCTTCTGTGGCATCCTGTCCCCCGTGTGTGCGGGTGCACATGGGACATCCTGGGCACAGGCTTCTGAGCGCGCTCGTCCTGATTCTGGACACGCCGAGGACGGGCGGCAGGCCAGGCGCTGCACGCGGGGGGCCTCCCAGCCTGCTCGGGGGAGGGCGTCCACCTGCTAGGAGCGCCCCGGGAGCAGCAGAGACTCGCCTGCGTCCGAACTGACGACGGGGGCGGCAGGCGCGAGGGTGGAGGGACCGGGGACGGCTGTGTGGCACGGAGCCCGAGGAAGCGGGACAAGGACAAAGCTGGTGTGAGGCTTCGCTCCCGGACAGAGCGGGCAAGCAGCTGGTTGTGTGGCAGACACCGGGCCGGCTGGGTCCCCTCCGGAAGCGGGAGGCACAGTCCCCCCCGCCACAGGGCCGGCGTCTGCGCTCGCCCAGCCGTCACGTCTGGTCCTCTCCCTGGGATGCTACACATGTTCTCGAAAGCACGGCTGTCTGGCGAGTGCAGGCTGCCTTCCGCACAGTTTTTCGGCTACGGTCTCCCCTCCTCGCGGCCGTGCTGCGCTTCCACTCTGGACCCGGCTCCGCACCGTCGCCGCCAACCACGTGGTCTTCCTTTTTCTCGCGGGAAGATGCCCGGGACGAGAGATGGACCGGCTCCACGGTTGTTCAGTGTGCAGTTCCGTGGTGGTAACTGCACCGACGCTGTTGTGCCACCAACCATACCCCGGCTCAGCTGGAACCACTGGGCACTTTTGTTGACCCCGTCCCCGCCCAGCTGCCATCCGTCCCCGGGGCCGGTGGGGCGGCTTGAGCGGCAGGTCCTGGGGCCCCTCACTGCTGCCGGCTGAGCCTGCTTCTGATCCTGTTAGGGACTGTGTCTCCCCCACCCCCCCAAATTCATATGGCAAAACCCTACCTCCCCATGTGATGGCATTGAGAGGTGGGGCCTCCGGAGATCAGGGAGAGAGAGAGATCTCTCATGATGGGATTAGGAGTGGTGAGAGAGCATGCTTCCCTGCTCCGCCACGTGAGGACACAAGGGGAAGTGGGTCATCTGCAAGACAGCCCTCGCCCGGCCACGGGGGCACCCTGATCTTGAAATTCCCGCCAACTTCTGTTGCGTAAAAGCCACCCAGTCTATGGAATTTTGACAGCAACCTGAGCTGAGACACAGCCAAAGGTGGTCCGTCACAGTCACACTTCTCAGCGTCTCATACTGCCCAGGCTCCTTGTTAGGCTTTGTAGGCAGGACACGTCTCACTCCACATTTTCAGGGGTGCAGGGGATGTGGTTTTAAAATGTTTCTGTGTAACTTACTTTGTATGTCACACCTGCCGCTCTCCTGCAGTGGTAGAAACTTCACGTCAACGGTGGAGCTTTTCCTAGGACACGTCTAAATACTGACCTGATACGAAGGCATTTTAACAGCAAGTCAGATCTCTGCAGGTGCGTCTCTCGTCCTTGCTCCCCAACCCCGATCTAGCGCTCACTCTCTGCCTCCTTTGGCTGCCCGTGTATTTTGCCCCTATGGACACCATGGCATTGCCAGAGAGCTCTGAGGAGCAAGACCCCCCTTCTTGCTGCAAGGCATGGTAAGAACGCCCTTCTATCTTCTGTTAGGTATCACGTCATCCTCATCCGAACAGTTAAATGCCATGCGAGAATCCCCTCATTTCCAGTGACACTAGGAAACCCAGCTCCACGGCAGCATCAACTGCTGTCAACTCTGGCCCATGAGGGTCAGCCACCAACAGCTTCCAGATGACTCAATGCCCCCCTCACTATCTCATCCCCTACTGCCTCAGCAGAGGGACATCCTCTGGGCAGCCGCCGAAGAACAGTCAAATAGGGGCGCCTGGGTGGCTCAGCCGGCTAATTGTCTGACTTTGGCTCAGGTCATGATCCCAGGAGTCCTGGGATGAGCCCCACGTGGGACTCCCTGCTCAGCGGGGAGCCTGCTTCTCCCTCTGCCCCTCCCCCCGCTCATGCTCTCTCTCTCAAATTTTTAAAGTCTTTTTTTTTTTAAGATTTTATTTATTTATTTGACAGAGAGAGATATAGCAAGAGAGGGAACACAAGCAGGGGGAGTGGGAGAGGGAGAAGCAGGCTTCCCACCAAGCAGGGAGCCTGATGCGGGGCTTGATCCCAGGACCCTGGGATCATGACCTGAACCGAAGGCAGACACTTAATGACTGAGCCACCCAGGTGCCCCAAATTTTTAAAATCGTAAAAAAAAAAAAAAAAAAAAAAAAGGAACAAATGGTCAATCTTCTGGTTTTATGTAATAAACCCACTCTAAGATCCCCACTCGCCCTGAGCCTTCAGGCTCCTTCTTCCAAACTCGGCTCAAGGCAACTCTGGCATCTCCAGCTCATTGACTGAGGCCACCAATGTGTCCAAACTTCTGGAGGCATTAGGATAGGCTCTGGGTGTTCTTGGCAGGACTTTAGGTCTTGAGTCATGGGAAATGCTCCCATTATCAATCAACTCGTTACCCAGTATTATATATCCCACCCCCATCTAGTACCCTCAGGATCCACTCCTGCACGTGCTGCCCTTAGGTCCTGTGGTTTGACCGTTGCTGCAACTTTTTGGGCAATTGAGCTATTTCCTCCTAGAGTAGGGACTGTGCTTCACTGCTGAGGCTAAGCGGAGCCCAGTTCTAGTTGTTGGTTTGGAGGCAATGGGCAGAGGTGATCTCGACAGTGATGAGCATCATTTCATAAGACAATCGGCTCAGGTGCGATCTCTGCATGGCCTCCGGGCAAAATGAGCTATTCTTCTCTATCAAGTGGGGGAAGGAAGCAGCAGCTGCTGGCCAGGGGGATTCGGGGGCTCTGGGGCTCAAGATCCTTAGGTATATCCACCCAAACATCCCCATGCCAGGCCTCAGGATCCCATTCCATAGCACCCCCCTCGATGCCCTGACTTTATAGCACAGGAAAATTGCTGAGGATGACGGGTCTCCTCTGCAGCTCTGCAGCCCTTATGATCACATCGTGGGCCTCGCTGCCAGCATGCTCTGCCTTCCTGGCTGCAAAAGTGAGCATTTCCTTACGTTGCCTCAGGAGACTTTCTGGCTTTCATATCATGCCCTGTCAAGGGGGTTCACTTGAGCCTTATGTTCTTTCAGCAAAGTTTCTAAAGCAGGTTTAGAAAAACTAGCCGCCTCCATAATCCTTGTAGCTACAGCTGCCCTCCTATCTTTCAAGTGCCAAAGCTACTCCATAAGCCAAGCTCTCCCCTCCACTTCTGTCTTACTCCAGTCTACAGAAGGTAAGAGTCTCATGCTCCAGGACCCAAGGGGTTAGCACCACCCAATGACCAATAGTGGTGAGAAGTCACTGTTGCCTTCTGAATGGTGGATGAGCCATAGTTCTAGATTCCTAACCCCACAGTGTCCCTTCTAGGGCTACTCCCTACTGTTTTAGCTTGCATCCCCATAAAAGCTTGAGCCTAGAACTTGGGTGTAGTTGATTTGGTAGATGAATCCAGGAAACGGGAGAGAGGGAGTGAGGAGAGTGACACAGGGCAGAAGGAAAAGTCAACAAAGTCTATTTTGGGGGCGCCTGGGTGGCTCAGTCAGTTAAGCATCTGCCTTCAGCTCAGGTCATGGTCCTGGGGTCCTGGGATCGAGTCCCGCATCAGGCTCCCTGCTCAGCGGGGAGTCTGCTTCTCCCTCTACCCCTCCTCCCTGCTTATGATCTCTCTTTCTCAAATAAATAAATAAAATCTTTTTAAAAAAAAGTCTATTTTGGCTCCCATCCCTTATGGGCTGAAGGCATTCGCTTACCTGCACTCCCAGGCTAGGCCTGTGGGGTTGAGAGAGCTCCTGAGGCTTAGGAGAAAGCGACAGGAGACGCTGGAAATGAGGCACTGACAGTGTCCACGGAGCCATCTACCCTTGCTGTGGCTGAAGTCAGAGGTGGGCTGATTGGATGGAACCAAAAGTTCCAGAACATCTAGTACACCTTTCTTGCCTTCGCGGGGATCAGAAATCTGGGACAATACCAAAGGCCACACGCCATCGGCTCCCTGGGACTCAGGTTCCTGCCTCTGTAGACCTTTGTGCATTCTAGAAGTATGTGGAAAGGGCCTACTAAGTGTTGTTAAGGACTTTTCTACAACGAGATACAGGAAAGAACAGAACGAAAAGCCCTGAGGAGCTTATGTCCTAGTTGGGGGGGGGGGGGGCAGAGGAGACCAACAGTAAAATAGCATGCCAAGTGGTTATGGACGTTAGAAAACAAAAAGGGCAAGGAGGATCCGTTGTCCCACTTTGGTTGGGTTGGGAAGAAGACGGACTCCTTTAAACAGTCATCAGGGAAAACCTCGCAGAAAAGGTGATATTTAGGCAGACATCTGAAGGAAGTGAGAGTAAGACCAGCCAGATACTGAGGAGGAGGAATGGGGAGCAAGGAGGGAAATAGTGCCCAGGAGCTCGTAGTGCCTTGGAAGCCAGGTGAAGACAGTGTTTCCAGGAGGAGCAGGAGGGGTCAACAGCAAGAAATGCGGCTAATGGGCCAAGACGAAGACAGAGAATTGGCCAAAGTCAATAACATTGGAGGGTGATGGCGTCTGTGAGGAGAGCAGGCTGGGGAGAGTGGGGGGTGAGAAACCCAAACTCGAGGGGGATTAAGAGCGAAGAGGGAGGGGAAGAATTGAGGACAGTGAATACAAGCAACTTTTTGGAGTTTAGTTACAAAAGGAAGCAGAGAAATGGGGCAGTAGCTGGAAAGTCATGTGGGGTCAAGAAAGGCTAGGTTTTCCAAGATGGAAGATCTACCAGGTTCTCTACTTCCATTTCCCTTCATCTTCCCTCTTGCTGTTGACAAATCTGTGACCTTTTTGACCTCCCTCTTCAAGCCCAAAAATATTTTTTGCAAAGCTCTAGATACCCAGAGAGTTCTGAGCTGGGAGGTGAAAGCCACAAAGAGTCCTTTGTTCCTGCTTTCTGCTCTGTCACATCCTTCCCTGGGGCAATGAGCCTGGCTGCCTCGTCAGGGGGTGAAATTCCACAGCAAAAAGAACAAAGTCAGATATCTCAAAATATCATCCTGCTCCATTTATTTTGGGCCCTTCAGCCACTTGGATGCCTTTCCCTAAACATGGGGCTCCCTGCCTGCCTGCTGCTGGTCTAGCAGGACAGATACTTTACTCTAGAACTATTTATTTTCAAGTAGTCTGGCCAAAGCAATATTCCCTAAACTTTAGGCATTCTTGGATCGCTGTTACGATTTTGGCTATTTTCCCATACCTCATATAGTTTTTACTCCATGTTTTTATATAAAGCACTTTCCTTTACATTTTTTTTTATTGTCTAAAATTTGCCTAACCTAAAACTCACTAAAGTGTATACAATTTGGTGGCTTTTAGAACATTCACATTGTTGTGCCACCATTACCAAACAGTTCCAAAACCTTTTTATTCAGTCTAAAAGGGAACCCTTCACCTGCCAAGCAGTACCTCGCTCCTTCCCACCCCCCACCCCCCCCAGTCCTTGGTAACCACCAATCTGCTTCCTGTCTCTATGGATTTGCCTATTATGGATATTTTATAGAAACAGAATCATGTCAGGGTGCCGTGGCTCAGCCTGGGATCGAGCCCTGCATCAGGCTCCCTGCTAGGCGGGGAGTCTGCTTCTCCCTCTGCCCCTCCCAGCCACCCCCCCCCGCCCCCGCTCGTGTAATCTTAAAAAAAAAAGCAAACAGAATCCCAAAATACATGGTCCTTTGGGTCTAGCGTCTTTCACTTATATGGTTTCTCCATTAGTCCCTTCTTTTGGGTTTGATTTTTTTTCTAGTGTATCATTTTGATTCCCTTCTCATTTCCTTCTCTGTATATATTTTTTTCTTATCTTATTTTTTATTTTTACTTATTCTTTTTAAGATTTAGTTGAGATAGAAAGCATGGGGGGGGAGAGGGAGAGGGAGAAGCAGACTCCCTGCTGAGGGTGGGGGGGAGGCTCCATCCCAGGACCCTGAGATCATGACCTGAGCTAAAGGCAGACGCTTAACCGACTGAGCCACTCAGGTGCCCCAAGATTTTTTTTTTTTTTTTTTTTAAGTAATCTCTACTCCCAATGCAGGGCTCGAACTCCCGACCCTGAGACCAAGAGTCACTTTGCTCTTCCGACTAAGCCACCCAGGCCCTCCCACTTTCTTAGTTATTTTAAAAGGAAAATTCATTTCACCATCATAACTATTTTAAATACTTTGTTTAATCTAGGTTAATGTAAATATAGAATTATTAAAATACAAAAAAGCACTGCTCAAAAGCAATGTTTTTCAATTTTGTGTCTAATGACCTGTTTTGTATTGTTTTGCTGCTTGAATGAATAAGGACACATCTTTATACAAAGCAGATGTTTAGTAATCCCTAGTCTGCGCCTGAAACAAAGGCTGAGGCAGGACACCCACTTCTCTCTCTTGTCATATGGCCCTCGGGAAATGTGTCCCCAGTCTCAAGTTTCAGTGGATGCAGAAATGCACGGTCTATATTCCAGGGAAGAGGTTAGCGGTTGCCAGGACCAGTGTCCACTCCCCAAAGCATCTTATATAGTACCTTGTGTGTATGGGGGTTGGGGAAATGGGCTCCCCATGTCCTGGGAAAGAACATTGACCCAGAAGGCATCTAGGAAGAGATCAAAATCAGACACCTACAACAAGGAAGGAGTGAAGCGACCAGGAGGTGACAGCCGCACTTCAGCTCAAGGAAACTGCTGGCTGGACAGAATGAAGGTCCAGGGTGGTGGCCAAGACTCTTCTTCATGAGAACACAGGAAATCTGGATTTTTAATGTGAAATCTCCAAATTCTTAAATGTTGGCAACGAATGCAAAATTTTTAAGCAACGTGGGTGGAGCAAATCCTATCTGTGTACAGGATTTGCCCCGGAGTGCTTGTTTGTACCCTGGGTCAGACAAACCCTTTATTCTACGGAGGAGAAAAAGCGAGGCCTGTAATAGCGAAGCGACTCGCCCAAAGCCACACGGCCAGGTGGGAGAGGCTGAGCCCAGGTTCGAGAAAGCTGAGTAAAATACACTTACTCTGGACCCAGGCTGAAACCCCTCTGGCCCGCTCCGCGCCTCTAAACCAGGGCGGGGGGAGCCAGGAGCAAGGTTCCCGACCCCGTCGGCCTGCCCACCTCACCGCACCCTCCATCACTGAGCGCCCAAGGTTTCGCTGCCCCCCAAGACTCGGTCCTCGGTCCCTTGGGCCAAGAGTGCCCCTGCCTGCTCCTTTTTGCCGTCCTCGCGCCCCTTCCCCGCCCCGCTCCGCGGGCACTGCCCGCTGCAAGCCCGGCTCCCCGTCCCGCGTTCCCAGCGGGCCGCACACACACACCTTCCTCCACAGCCCTATCGCGCCCTCCCGGGACCGGCTGCTGGCTGAGTCACCCGTCCACACCGGGCACTAGGTGACGGTCCCTACCCGCGAGTCGGGAGCCCGCGCCAGGCCCGCTTCGCCGCCCACGACCGCGCCCCGGCCGGCGGCGAGCAGCGAAGTGCGCGTGCGCCGCACGGGCTTTATTGCGTCAGCGCGACTCCAGAGCGCGCGGCTCGATCATGAGCACGCCGCTCGCGCCCTCGCGTTTGCGCATCTTCCTCGGCCAGGCGCGCGCCGCGGCCGCCGCGCTGGCCTGGCTGTCGAGCTTCTTCTCCAGCAGGTGCATGCGCGCCGTGGTCTCGGTCAGCATGTCCATGAGCAGTTCCTGCTGCAGCTTCAGGTAGTTGTTCTCCTCCAGGAGCACCTGGCTCCTGACCCGCGGCACCGGCGGCTTCCAGCCCGAGACGGTCGGCGAGGACAGCGGCGGCCGCGACCGCACCGGCAGCCTCTCGGTGGTCCACCGGCCGCCGCGGAACACGAAGCCCTCGTCGCTCAGGCGCATGCGCGGCGCGCCGTAGCTGAGGCCCAGCTCGGCCTGGCGCGTCCGGTGGTCCAGCAGGTAGAAGGTGGACATGGAGGAGATGCGGCGCAGCGGCGGGCGCCGCGGCGAGAAGCGCCGCGAGAAGTGGTCGGCCCAGAACTGCCGGAGCTGCTCCCACAGGCGGCCGGCGTGGCCCGAGGCCGGGCACCGGAAGGCCTCCAGGGCGAGGGCCGAGTGGGCCTAGTCCGGCGCGCGGGTGCCCGGTGCCGGGCCTCGAGGACGTGGACGACCGGGGCTGCGCCCTTGCCTCCGGAGCCCCGGTGTCCGGAATGATGAAGGCGAGCCAGGGGCACCTCTGCGGAGCAAGAGTCCGGGTGAGCAGCCTGCTTGGACGGGCTGGCCCGTCGGGCCGCGAGCACCGGTGGACAAAGCTTAGCTCTGAGGCCGGCAGCAGGGGCTAGCCAGCTGCTGGCCGCTGAGGAGCCCGTCCCTACACACTGGCGCCGACACAAGTCCCCTGAAACTACCTTCCCCAAAGACCACTCTGCGTCAGGCGCAGGGGACGTACGTGCAGACGAAGGACCGCAACCCTGGCTTTCTGAGCCTCGGCGGGGCTGCTGGAAGGGTTAGGGGCCCGGGAGTTGGGAATGGTAGAGACAGGTTTAACTTAAAAGTTAAGCAGGGCTTTGCTAGGTGAATTGGGGGTAGATAAGGGAGAGGGCCCCTAGGCAGAGTGAAGAGCCGGGCACGGCTTGCATGTTCCGGACGTGAGGAAGAGCTTGGAGTAGGGTCGGTGTATGGTACTCGGCTGGGAATACAAGAGGAAGCTGGAAGGGGGACCAGGGCCTAAACTGCATTCTGGCAGTTTACAAAGCCAGGGCTAGCTCTGGATTCAGAAAAGTATTCGGTAGGATATCTGAACTAACCAGTGGCATAATGCGCCCTGGGCCAGACCTGGTCTGGGCAGGGGTTCTGAGCCTGTGGCCGCCCTCAAGATGCTCCTGGTCCAGCTTGGAACCCAGATGTGTGTGTGGATGACAGTAGTTCAGTATGCTCGGTGACGTGCTTGGGGCACGTGCCGTGGGCTAGGACCATTGCTTAGGATTCGAGGTCATAGGGGGTATGCAGACTACATGTGACTTTTCTCCCAAGCAGAGTACATCCTCAAGGAAGCTGAAGTACAGGTAACAAGTCTCATTCTCTGTCTCCCCCAAAGCCTGGAAGTGCTGACTCTAGTCTATGGGAAAAGGATTATATGTTCCCTCTTCTCCCACATGGAGGGTGAAAAGGGAAGGAACCCTCTGTCATGCCTACATCGATCCAATACACACGTGTTCCTCTTGCACATAGCTGGGCTGAGGGGATGGTACTATTCCCTAGATCTGACTGAGGGTGCCATCTCTGAAAGCCCAAAGAGGGCCCGAGAGGGTGCAGCCGGCCCGCCTGCAAGGCTGCATCCTCCCAGAGGCCCTTTCCCAGTAATCCTCCCTGCAGGTTGGGCCTCACCTGGAGGACGTGCTGGAGGTGCTGAGCTGCTGCCCCAGGCCTGGCCCATGTCTGAACCACTCAGCTGCTCTCCACCAGCTGTGACTCACAATGCCGCCAGGCCAGACTAGCCCAGGACAGGAGGGGTGCCCACAGTCCAGCCATAAAGCAGACTCTGCGCTCTCCCCGTATTCACGCAACACATGTATAGAGTGTTTGCTGCGTTCCAGGCACAGCTCTGCAGAGCCGGAGATAGGGATTTGATGTAAGGGAACGAACAAGGTAGTCCCCGTGAGGCTTACCGAGGGTGGTATGGGTCAGGTTCCCAGAAGCAGAGCCAGAGATGAGAATTCTTGTTTGAGTGATTTACTGGGGAAGTGCTCTCAGGAGAAGGGTGTGAGAGAAACAGGACAGGGCAGGGAAGCAAGGGAAGCAGGAGAGTGCCCTCAAGTGGAAACTAGCTTCAGCCTCATCCCACAGGTAACTGCATAAATTGCACCACGGAGTTAGGCCTCCTTGCCACAGGAAAGCCAGTCTTTTGTACCCTCTCCCTTCTCTCCCACACCCTCATTTCCCATCAGTTATTGGCAGGGGCAGCTGTGAGTTGACAGCCAACACTTAAGGCGCATATGGGGTGAGTGCATCACCAGGAAAAGGGCTCTGTGGGGCCCCAACAGCATAGAGGTGGGAGGAAGAGAATAAATAATAAAAATGAATAGAAGGGGCCCCTGGGTGGCTCAGTGGGTTAAGTGTCTGCCTTCGGCTCAGGTCATGATCTCGGGGTCCAGGTATCGAGCCCTGCGTCTCGGGCTCCTTGCTCAGCGGGGAGCCTGCTTCTCCCTCTCCTGCCTGTCGCTCTGCCTACGGGTGCTCTCTCTGTCAAATAAATTTTAAAAAAGTTTTTTTTAAGCTGTACATCCAACGTGGGGCTTGAACTCATGACCTTGAGTTCAAGAGTCAGGGGTGTACCAACTGAGCCAGCCAGGCACTCCATAAACAACATATTTAGGGGCACCTGGGTGGCTCAGTTGTTAAGTGTCTGCTTCAGCTCAGGTCATGATCCCAGGGTCCTGGGATCGAGCCCCGCGTCAGACACCCTGCTCAGCGGGGAGTCTGCTTCTCCCTCTCCCTCTGCCTGCCTCTCTGCCTACTTGTGCTCTCTTTCTCTCTGTTAAATAAATAAATAAAGTCTTAAAAAAATATAACATATTTATAATGTATAATTTGATACGTTTTTATAACTTGCTGTATGAAATCATCACCCAAATCAAGATAATGAAGACATCCATTACCTTCAGAAGTTTGCTCTCATTACTACATAGTCATTTGTATTTTCTAGAATTTTATATAAATAGAATAGAATGTCCTTTTTGGACACTAGCTTCTTGCAGCATAATTATTTTGAGATTCATCCATGTGGTCGCATCCATCAACAATTTCTTCTTATTGATGAATATTTCCCATTGTATGGAAATACCACAGTTTGTTTTCGCGTGTATTTGATGGAAATTTGGGTTGTTTCCAGTTTGGGGGCTTTTACGAATAAAGCTACTATGAATATGTGTGTATAAGTCTTCATGTGGCCATATGCTTTCATTTCTCTTGAATAAATACCTAGGAGTGGAATGGCTGGGTCATATGGTAGGTGTACGTTTACCTCTTTATGAAGCTACCAGACTTTTTTTAGAATGGTTGTACCACACCCCCAATAGCAGTGAAAGAATTTCTGTTCTTCCACATACTTGCCAACACCTTGTATGGTAAACCTTTTTAATTTTCGTCATTCTGGTGGGTATGTCTAAATTGTGGTTTTAATATCATTTCCGTAATGGCTAATGATGTTGACCATGTCTTCATGTGCTTGTTAGCCTCTTTGGTAAATTAAGGTCTTTTGCCATTCTTTTTTTTTAACTGGATTGTTTGTCTTACTGAGTATAAGGAGTTCTGTAATGCTAGATAAAACTGGATATGTGGTATGGTGGATATGCTTTGCAAATATTTTCTCTCATTCTGTGGCTTTGCCTTTCAAAGTGAAAGTTTTTAATTTTGATAAAGTCCAGCTTATCAATTTTCTCTCCCGTAGTTCCTGCTTTCTGTATCATATTCAAGAACTTTTTGCCAAACCTAAGGTCACTAAGATTTTCTCCTCTGTTTTCTTCTAGAAATTTTATGGTTTTAGCTTTACATTTAGGTCTGTGCTACATTTTGAGTTAATTTTAAAAAATATTTATTTATTTGAGAGAGAGGGCATGAGTGGGTGAGGGGTGGGGCAGAGGGAGAGGAGAGGCAAACTCCCCGCTGAGCTGGGAACCTGACATGGGGCTCAGTTCCAGGACCCTGAGATCATGACCTGAGCTGAAGGCAGACACTTAACTAACTGAGCCACCCCAGCGCCCCTTGAGTTAATTTTTTTAAGATTAATTAATTTATTTTAGAGAGAGAGCGCAAGTGGGAGGGGCAGGGGGAGAGGGAGAGGGAATCTCAAGCAGACTCTGCACTGAACTCAGAGCCTGACATGGGGCTTGATCTCACAACCCTGAGATCATGACCTGAGCTGAAACCAAGAGTTGGACTCAACTGACTGTGCCACCCAGGTGCCCCTTTTCTGAGTTAATTTTTGTTTTTAGTGTGAGGTGAGAGTTAATATTTTTTTTCATATAGATGTCAATTTGACCTAACACCAATTATAGAAAAGATTAGGCCTTCTCCCTAGTTTCAATCCTGTCATTCGTCCTGTGACTGTCCGAGTGTTTCTGGGCTTTCTGTTCCTTTCCATTGGTCTCTTTATCTATTCTTGCCCCACATCGTATTTTCTTAATTATTGTAGCTTACAGGAAGTCTTAATATCTGATAAAGTACATCTTCCAGCAATATTCTTTAAAGATTGCTTTGGTTTTCTAGGTCCTTTGCAATTCCATATAATTGAATTTCCATCCTAATTTTAGAATTTGAATGTCAGTTTCCACAAATAAACCCTCATGCTCACTGTTCAAATCTCTCTCTTCCTATCACGAGGACACTTGAGAGCTCAGATCAGCCCTCAGAAGGTTGTCTGATGGACGTGGAATCAGAGCCCAGGAATATTTTAATCGAGCCAGTGATTCATTCTCTCTGTGTCTCTCCAAATATGTCCGTGTTATTAAAGCTAATTTTCATTAACAATCTCAATATTTCAGGCAGGTCATGGGTGGCCATGGTCTACAGTAACTTTCAATTTCCCCTATTTCCTTACAAAAAAGGAGAAAGCTATAAAACCCAAGGAAGTCTTTATTTGATGATATGAATGGGAAAAGTTTAGAGATGATGAACAATTAACATCTTAACTCCTTTCACAAGCAGACCTTGATTCTGAGGAATTAAGAAACTCTGTGTTGATGTCCTCACTGAAAAGACTAGACCTGGAGCCCTTCAGTAAAGGAGCTCCAGGTACCGACAGGTCCGAGTTTCAGGACATAAAGTTCATTCTAAGGGCACAGAGGAAAAGAGAAGAGGACCTAAAAATGAATTTTCACTTCCTCACACCACAGGCAAATGCCATAGCAACTGTGAATGTCAGTGGATTGGATCCCTTCTCTTGGCAACCAAGAATACTCCCAAAACCAAGGAAGCGAACTCTTGTTTTGCCCCAAGGCTATTTCACTTGGTTTCTGAGATACTGTTGGTGACAGTATCTGGAACAATGAGACATTCTCTGTGCTAACATAGTGAATTAAAAAAAAAAAAAAAAGAATCCTGCTTTGGTATAATAAAACTTGATAGAAGTCATTTAGATAGTACAGGGGTGCCTGGGGTGGCTCAGTCGGTGGAGCGTCTGACTCTTGGTTTCTGCTCAGGTCATGATCTCAGGGTCGTGGGATTGAGCCCCACGTCGGGCCCCGCACTGGGTGGGGAGTCTGCTTGAGATTCTCTCTCTCCCTCTGCCTCCCCCTCCCCACCATGCTCTCTTGCTCTAAAATAAATAAGTAAATAAATAAATACAATTTTTTTAATAAAGTCATTCGGATAGTACAGAACACATAGAACATAGTTATAAATAATCACATGCTTCACTCGGCCTTTTTACGAAGCTCAAATTAAACAGGAAAGGATGTCCACCTGCTCTGTGGCTCATCCTTCCCTTGGGCTTTTTTCTTCTTTAGCTTCTCCTCCAGCCTTCCTCGGGGGCTTGGCGGTGACAGCGGTGGGGTGGGGGGCAGCACGCAGGTTGGCCCCAGTAGCGGTCTAGAGGTGGCTATGATTCCTGCCCTGCTTCCCCATGCTTCTCCAAAACCATTGTACCTTAAAATTAGTTCCATGCATGTTCTTTGGGATCTGTAAGTAGTCTATGAAAAAAATGTTTAAATTCTCTGTTTTAGGGGCGCCTGGGTGGCTCAGTTGCTAAGCGTCTGCCTTCGGCTCAGGTCATGATCACAGGGTCCTGGGATCGAGCCCCGCATTGGGCTCCCTGCTCCGCGGGAAGCCTGCTTCTCCCTCTCCCACTCCCCCTGCTTGTGTTCCTGCTCTCGCTGTGTCTCTCTCTGTCAAATAAACAAAATTTTTTAAAAAATTCTCTGTTTTAATAAAAAAAGATCTGGAAAAAAATGTTCATGCATAATCTCTCTGCCCTAGATAACCACCTTGTAACCAGGAAGCCCCACGGAACCCGAGAGTCTACATCTGGGCTTGAGTGGTGGAGGCTAAGGAGAAGGAAGGTGCGCAGGCAGGCATGAGAACGCCAAGCTCCGCTGGTGAGGGGAGGATTGCAAAGTCTTTCTGAAGAGTTGAAAGTAGACCACGTGTGTGCCAGTTGAGCTCCAGCACATGTGCCTTGGGGCACTGGGACCAGCTCACAGGGCACATAGCACTTATTTTCAGCAGAAAAAAAAAATTTTTTTATCCTACTTAAATGTGAATTTGAATATTTTTGATTAATAGGTAATTTATACATTTATTATGCTTTTATATTTAGAAGTTGGAAATCAATGAATGTATGGTAAGTTTATGTTTCTAGGCATTTGAACAAGATGGTGAGGTGGGTTAATATTTTGGAATTTTAGCCCCTGTATAGTTTTTGTCCTAAATAGTTCTCTTTTACACAGGTACCTGTTATCACCTAAATGAAAGTGAGGCTTTCTGCAGAAAACAGAACAACTTTCTGGGCTTTCAACTTCCAAAATAGGCTCTGAACAATTGTGTTGGATTGTGAAAGCCTGACTTTTTTTTTAAGTTGTAAAGTTGGAAATTGTCCAAGGAGGGGCACCTGGGGGGCTCAGTCAGTTAAGCGACTGACTCTTGATTTCATCTTGGGTCCTGATTTTAGGGTTGTGAGATCAAGCCCTGGGCTGGGCTCCTCGCTGAGTGTGGAGCCTGCTTAAGATTCTCTCTCCCTCTCCATCTGCCCTTCCTCCCTCACCCCTGTTCGTGCGTGCTCTCTCTCTCAAAGTAATAAAATAAAATAAAACTTGTACATGGAACACCTGTATACCCTTTATTTTATTTATTTATTATTTTTTATTATTAACATATAATGTATTATTTGTTTCAGAGGTACAGGTCTGTGATTCATCAGTCTTACACAATTCACAGCGCTCACCATAGCACATACCCTCCCCAATGCCCAACCTCTATACCCCTTATCCAGATTCCCCTACAGTCAACATTTTACCCTATTTCCTTTATCATTTCTGAGCCATTTACATATATCATGGCCCTTTGCCCCTAAATACTTCAGTGTGTATTATCTTATATGACCAGAGTACAGTTATCAACCTTATGAGTTTATTTCGCTACAAATTACTTCTTTTTTTGTTTTAAGATTTTATTTATTTGACAGAAACAGAGCAAGAGAGGGAACACAAGCAGGGGGAGTGGGAGAGGGAGAAACAGGCTTCCCGCCCAGCAGGGAGCCTGATGCCAGGCTTGATCCCAGGACCCTGGGATCATGACCTGAGCCGAAGGCAGACGCTTAACGACTGAGCCACCCAGGCGCCCCTTCTGGTGGTGATTCTTGCCTGAGCCAATCTTTACCATCATGTTTGCAAAGTGGTGCTTTTCCAATGCTAGCACTAACTTCGTATTTGTGAGTTGGCTCTCCTCATTCTACTATAAGCAAGAGGTCTCCATTCTCGGGGCGCCAAATAAATAAATAAAATCTTAAAAAAAAAGAGAGCCACTTAAAAAAAAAAGAGGTCTCCCTTCTCTATCAGTATCGTGAGATAATAGAAAATCTATATACTATAGGGTCACCCGGGTGGCTCAGTTGGTTGGGCGTCTGCCTTCAGCTCAGGTCATGATCTCAGGGTCCTGGGATTGAGCCCCACGTCCACCTCCCTGCTCAGTGGGGAGCCTGCTTCTCTCTCTCCTCCCTGCTTGTGCTCTCTGTCGCTCTGTCTCTCTCTCATATAAAATCTTAAAAAAAAAAAAAGAAAATCTATATACTCTCTGTACTGCCCCCCCCCCCCAATTCCAGACACAGGGCTTCTAAAACCCTTCTAATTTCCTAAGTGGTAACAGTACTAGGTGCATCTTTTGCTGTCATATTTGGTCTTTGACCCTTATTTTTGATACAGACCTTCCAAATCCCTTGGAATTTCCTGGGTAATAGCAGTGTCTTTTGTTCTAACGAGGTGGGTGTTGGTGGGCTCCTGGCTGGGGGTTGGTCACCAGAAGGACAAAGCCATGATTAGAAGCTTGGAACTTTCAGCCCCACCCCCCCATTCTCCCGAGACGGAAGACGGGCTGGAAATGGAGTTAACCATCGATCATGCCTTTTCTGATGAAGCCTCCCTAAAAACCCCCAAAGTATGGGGTTCAGAGAGCTTCCAGGTTGGTGAACACATCTGTGTGCAGGAAGGATGACATACCCCCAACACCACAGGATGGAAGTGTCTTTGCTCGGGACCCTCCTAGACCTCGCCCGATGTATCCTTTTATCTGGTTGTTCATCTGTATCCTTGGTCATATCTTTTCATAAGTTGGTAAACATAAATAAGTTTTTCCCCCAAGTTCTGAGAGCTGTTCTAGCAAATAATCAAATCCAAGAGGAGGTCGCAAGAGCCTCTGATCTGGAGCCAAGTTGGACAGACATTGTGGGTAACCTGGGGACCCACTACTTGTGATTGGCATCTAAAGTGTGGTCAGTCTCATAGACTGAGCCTTTCACTGGTGGGATCTGACGCTAGCTATCTCCAGGTAGATGGTGTCAGGACTGAGTTAAATTGTAGGGCACCCAGCTGGTGTCATAGAATTGCTTGGTGTGGGAAAAACTCCCACACATCTGGTATCAGAAGGGTTATGAGTATGGTACTGGTGTGAGTAAAGGGGAAACACAGGAGCGTAGGTTGGTTTTTTGTTTTGTTTTTTTAAGTTTTTAGGTAATCTCTACACCCAAAGTGGGACTGGAACTCACGACCCTGAGATCAAGAGTTACATGCTGTCCAGCTGAGCCAGCCAGGTGCCTCTAGTTTTTCTTTTTTCTTTACACTTTAATTTCTATTTTTTTCTTTTTAAAAACTTGTTGAGGGGGTGCCTGGGTGGCTCAGTCATTAAGCGCCTGACTTCGGCTCAGGTCATGATCCCAGGGTCCTGGGATCGAGCCCCGCATCGGGCTCCCTGCTCGGCGGGAAGCCTGCTTCTCCCTCTCCCACTCCCCCTGCTTGTGTTCCCTCTCTCGCTGTGTCTCTCTCTGTCAAATAAATAAAATCTTTCAAAAAAAAAAACTTGTTGACATTTTCATTTTTCACTGACTTATTATTCTTTTGAGTTTCAAATGGCTGTGCTCTCCCCCCAGAGATTCTGATGTAATGTTCTGGGGATACAGCTTGGGCACTGGGATTTTTAAAAGCTTTCCAAGTGATTCTAATGTGCAGACAAGGCAAATAAATATCCCGTGCAACGTGAAACATAGAGGCCAATGCAAGAAAACAGAAAAAAAGCAATGTCTAGGGAAGACACATAGAGGAAAAAAATCTTCAACTAAAAGTATGTGAGGGTAGCAGCCTGGTGAAGTGAGGAGATCAACAATTCTCTCTCCAGAAAATGATGATAAAGTTGGAGAAAAAAAGAAATCCAAAAATCCATTTAGGGTTCTGGAAATTGACCAAAAGCAAAGGAGAAATTGAAAAGCATTTATCCATGGAAAACCACTGAAACTCTAGGTGAGAACAGAGAGTGTGTGGCATACTTGCCCGGGGCTGCTCACAGTCCCCCAGCCTAGGCAGCAGGGCAGCCGACCACGACCGGGCAGGCCGTACAATCCAACAGTTTCGCTGCCAGAGGGGGCTCACTGAATTTGGAAAAAACCACAGCCAGATGCTCCTACGCACCCGCTAGAATGGCTACAACAAAAAAGACAGACCATAGCAAGTGTTGGCGATGCTGTGAAGAACTGAAACCTTCCAGCGTGGGACTGTGAAATAGAACAACTACTTTGGAAAACAACTGGGCAATTCCTTCTAAAGCTAAACATAAATTTACCACATAAGCCGGTGGTCCTACTCCTACATAGTATCCGAGAGAAATAGAAAGGTTTGTATAAATACTCGTAACCAGATGTTCCTATCAGCATTACCTACGATAGCCCCAAACTGGAAACAGTCGAAAGGTCCATCAGCTGTTCAATGGATAGATAAATCGTGGCATATCCTTGCAATGGAATATTATTCAGCAATGAACAGGAATGAATTCCTATACATGCTGCTACATGAATGAACTGCAAGAACATTATGCTTTGTGAAAGAAGTCAGATTCCAAGACTGCATATTGTATGATTCCGTTTATTTTTTAAATTTTTATTATTTTAATTTTTTAATTTAAATTTAATTAGCCAACATATAATACATCATTAGTTTCAGATGTAGTGTTCAGTAATTTATCAGTTGCCTATCATACCCAGTGCTCATCACGTCACGTGCCCTCCTTAATGCCCATCACCCTGTTACCCCATTCCCCTCCAGTATGATTCCATTTATATGACCTCTCTAGAAAAGGGAGATCAATAAAAGGAGAAAGCTGTTCGGTGATTACCTGGGGTTGGCTGGGAGTTGACTGCAAATACGTACAAAGGCTGACATATCCTAAACTTGGATTGTGGTAATGGCTCAAAATCACTGAATCATTTACTGACAATGGGCTAACTTTATGGTATGTAAATTATATGTCAATCAAATTAAAAAAAACCCTACGTGAGGGTAGATTAAATAGATTTTTAAATTTATTTATTTATTATTTTTATTTTTATAGATTTTATTTACTTATTTGTGAGAGAGAGCATGAGCAGGGGGGAGAGGGAGAAGCAGGCTCCCCACCGAGCAAGGAGCCAGACGTGGGGCTTGATCCCAGGACCCCGGGATCGTGACCCGATCCAAAGGCAGATGCTTCACTGACTGAGCCACCCAGGTGCCCCATAAATAGATTTTTAAAAAAGAGTTTATTTATTTACTTGAGAGAGAGTGAGTGAGCACAAGTGCGATCAGCAGCAGAGGGAGAAAGAGAGGGAGAGGGAGAAGCAGACTCCCCACTGAGCAGGGAGCCTGATGCAGGGCTTGATCCCAGGACCCCAGGATCCTGACCTGAGCCGAAGGCAGACGCTTAACAGACTGAGCCACCCAGGCGCCCCAAGAGATTTTTCTGATGTGCAAGATTTCAACAAAACCTTATTCCACAGCTTGGGCAGCAACAGGAAGACAAAATTACCAACTGTGGCAGTAAACCAAGAAAAATGGAGGATGTTGGGTTATTAAGAGAACATTAAAAGATATGTCTGTACAAAGAGTCTATAGCAGTTTTATACCATACAGTCCCAAATTGGAAACAGCCCAGATAACTGTTACTTGGTGAATGGATAAACTGGCATGCTCATACAATGGAATACTACTCAGCGAGTAAAAGGAACAAATTCGTGATAAATGTTACCATATAAATGAGGATCTCGGAAAAATTTGTTCAGAGAAAGAAGCCAGACACAAAACATATATACGATATGGTTCTATTTATATGAAGCTCTAGAAAATAGAGATCTGTAGTAACAGAAATAAAGTCAGCTTTTGCCTGAGGCTGGTGGTAGGGATGGGCTGGGAATCGCTATGAGGGAATGGTAGTATAATAAAAATCGGTCTTTATTCTGGGTTTCTGGTGCACAGCTCCTAAAATCCTTGGAATTTCCTGAGCGATAGGAGCGTCTTTTTTATTTTTCTAAATATTTTATTTATTTATTTTGAGAGAGGAAGAGAGCGAGAGCAGGGGCAGGGGCAGAGGGAGAGAGAGAATCTCAAGTACACGCCACACCGAACGCGGAGCCTGACGCTGGGCTTGATCCCAGGACCCTGAGATCATGACCTGAGCCGACATCAAGAATCAGACGCTTAACCAACTGTGCCACCCAAGTGCCCCAGGAGTGTCTTTTGCTATTCATAAGGAGCCCCTTTCAGCCATACCTGAGTTTATGCTAATAAGGTGATTACTGGTGGGTCCCTAG